GGGAGATTCGCAGTTTCTCATTTCAAGCTAGTATCTTCAAACTGATTCCTATTCACTCAACACAAGTGGAATAGGAAAATCACTGCTCAAGTCAAGCGTTGTGCCTTTTAACACTTCTGACAATTAACTATTAAATGCTTAGCTGCCTTGTAACATTCTGCTGTGATCAGAGCCCCACAAATTTGATCAAGTACAGGAACAAGAGGAAGTCACAAGATATAAAGTTGTTTCAGTCCAGAATCTTGCTGGATGGACTTCCTGTAGATGAGAAAACATACCATTTAACTATTAAATACAATAAAGTATCATTTAATTCCATGGACTGAACATGTAAATTATATGTATCCACACATGCTGTCACAAATTAAGGGGCATTCTGAAAAAGCTGGATACAGGGTGTGTGATGCCGATAGAAAGAAATGAGTAGGTGCTTTGAGTGTAGTAGGTGAAATTTCTACATCATTGTACTGTTTGTCAGTGCAACATAGCAAAATATTTTGTCTTTCATTTGTGAATGCTGGCTATTTGGTAATAAGGGCAGTCCATTGTTTTAGAGAATTTCTCTCCCTAAATTTATCAAATTGCGGGGAGGCAAATTCTGCTCTCTGGTTATAACAGTGTAGCTACTTAACTGAAGTCAGTGCCCTATTCAACTTCATTGGGCTTACTTTGGATTTACACTGGTGTACTTTGTGAGCATAATTAGTCCTTAGAGCCACATTAAATGCTGCTAATTTGAGTGGACCTTAAGCCTTTTGTGTTTACCTTTTCTAAAGTGTCTCACTGGAAGTGCCCAGTATTGTATATGGTGGTGTAACATGGAACAGGCTGGCTGGTGACGTACAAAGCTAATAGCCAAACCGAAACATTCTTCCTCTTTTGGAAGAGGTAATGTTCATAGTGGAAATCAAAGGTGAACTTCAAAGCGAAGAGCTGAAAACTGAAACGAAGCAGGGTTTCTGTGCTGAATGTCCCCACGAATCAGGTTTTGGGGCAAGGAGAGACGAATGATGTATCACATTCATCTATTTATTGTAGAAATCATCCAAATGTTTGCAGTTTGCCTTAGAAGTAAAGAAAGCGAGCAAATGTGGATTACCTAAATTCTAAAAGTATCCCGAAAGCATCATAAATATGCTAATTTGGAGGACATAACATCAAAGAACTTGTCAAATTCTCTAGATAGTCGTAATAGAAGAATTTTTTCAGTGGTCTTGAGCAAATGCACTGGCCTCCTGCTTCATAGATATGCCTGTATGCTTGTGGGTGCCATTTTTTCAGTGAACACAAAGGGAAATGATTTCATAGTGTGTTTATAAAATATGGGGGCTGTGAAATCACAGTTAAGAAATATTTTTAATAAAGCTGCTTACAATAAACCTGTAGTTACTGCACAGTTAGAACTAGGCTGCTACATTCCATTGAATTATAAATTATTAGAAAAATAATTACCTTTCTAAGCATATTCCATTTAAAAAACATGTTTTGATTGGTTGAAAAAATGCTGCTTAACACTTGATAGATTAAGTATTTGCAGTCTCTCTTACTGAGACCAGGGTATGGGAACTGGGGAAGCATGGGTATTACTTCCTATTCCTGCCTACCTTAAAGGTGATCTGCAAGGATTCTTTTAAAGTTGGCCATATGTCCTGTTTTGCTTCTTTGTAATGTATTTTAAAAATAAAAGTCTGGGGGTTTTTACTTTTTTTAAAAAAAACTTAATATCAGGAATGTCAAGTCTCCTTTTCCTTGGTTTTGCTGAAGGATCTTCTGGGTAGCTCAAAGTATGTTTCTTGTGAGCAAGATGTTAACTGAAGGGATAAATATCCTTTCTCAAAAATGTTAATTAGTCTTAAGTTAAATATTATCAAAAAAAACAAACCAGAGTTTTAAGCAGCCTGACTTAAAAATCCCTGTACTTTTTAGCTGCTCGGATTTTACTCTGGACTCTTGTGAGTCAGTCACTTCACTAGTCCTCCAGTCACCATAGAGATTTCCAGCTTGCACAGAACCTGAATTTCTCAACTGAAAAACCAGCTGAGAAAAATCATTTAACAAAACAGATCCTTGTAGGCTAACTTGATATATAATAAAGAAGCAAAAACAAGCCCATTTAGTTCCTTTGCAAAGGTGACCTTTAAAAAAAATCCCCACAACATAACATCTATGTTTTAGTCAGTGGAGAACCCTGATTTGTTACCAGTTTACAGTAATATATATTTTGCACATTTGGTAAACATTTCAGTAGAAGTTCTGTTTGTTTACCTAAAAACAAACTTAAAAGTGAATTTAGGACTTAAAAAAAAAAAGACTTATTTGTAAGATTACAAAAGACAAAGTTTATAGCCATTAAAATATAGTTAGCACTTTATTTTAAAGCAAGGATCTCAAACTCAGATCACCACGAGGGCCACATGAGGACTAGTACGTTGGCCCGAGGGCTGCATCACTGAAACCTTTTCATACAATGATACAAAAGTATAGTCAAAAATGAAGAGTAATACAGTATGCTATTAAAAGTCAATGTAGTAACTTTTTAAAAACTGTAATGTGAAGAGGGGTTTTAATAAAATATAAACACCTGTAACTATTCCTTATGTGGTCAGTAACGCTGAGGATGATCTACACTAACAGTCTATCAACACAGCTGTAATTGCAGGAACTTTTTAAAGTAACTATACATACGTAATATGTTGCCACTTTTAACAAACATTCTTCCCAACTACTTACAGCAAAGAATCTCACATGCTGAACTTCATACCTCAGACTCCTCATTTAGTCCATGAGGCCCTGCCCCTGCTCTGCCTCTTTCCACCCCTTCACTGACCCCATTCCAACACCTTCCCCAAAGTCCCCGCCCCAACTCCGCCTCCTCTCTGCCCCTATTCCAACCCCTTCCCCAAATCCCTGCCCCAGTCCTGCCTCTTCTCCACCTCCTCCCCTGAGCGTGCCATATCCCTGCTCTTCCCCCGTCCCTCTTGGAAAGTCCTAGTGAAGCGGGAAATGCTGTGAAGTAGGCGGAGGAACAGGGAGGAGGGGATCCTGGGAGTTTGGCTGCCAGTGGAGTTGGCGCCTATGATGGGCTGCAGGAAATAATTCCACTGGCTGTGTGTTTGAGACCCCTGTTTTAAAGGATCAGAGTCAATTTAAAAACTTCCCTCTGGAAATCTTTGACCTATTGTTACAAGTAACAAGTAAGAGTGCTATTATGATGAAGGGGCAAAACAATATCTATTTTTCAAGTTTGTTTATTTTGTAGTAGTTTCACTGGCTGACTCACTATTACAGGGGAATCAGTGTCCTCTGTGTGGGTCTTTCACATAGGAACAAGTAGAGGAATACACAGGAAAATGCAATAGTAAAACAAAAAACTGACGGGAACTCAAAGGTAGGCGTCATTACCTGAAACTTTCACCCTTTTTATTTAATTCACCAAAGTGATCATATGAATGGTCATACTGGATCAGACCAAAGGCCCATCTAGCCCAATATCCTGTCTTCCAACAGTGGCCAATGCCAGGTACCCCAGAGAGAATGAACAGAACAGGTAATCCATCAAGTGATCCATCCCATCGCCCATTCCCAGCTTATGCAAACAAAGGCTAGGGACACCATCCCTGCCCTCCTGGCTAATGGCCATTGATGGACCTATCTTCCATGAACTTATCTAGTTCTTTTTTGAACCCTGTTGTAGTCTTGGCCTTCACACCATCCTCTGGCAAGGAGTTCCACAGGTTGAGTACGTTGTGTGAAGAAATACGTCCCTTTGTTTTAAATCTGCTGCCTATTTAATTTCATTGGGTGACCTTTAGTTCTTGTGTTATGAGGAGAAGTAAATAACACTTCCTTATTTACTTTCTCCACACCTGTCCTGATTTTATAGAGCTCTATCATATCCAATTAGTCATCTCTTTTCCAAGCTGAAAAGTCCCAGTCTTATTAATCTTTCCTCATATGGAAGCTATTCCACACCCCTAATCATTTTTGTTGCCCTTTTATGTACCTTTTCTAATTCGAATATATCTTTCTTGAGATGGGGCGATCAGATCTGCATACAGTAATCAAGATGTGGGCATAACAGGGATTTATATAGAGGCAACATGATACTTTGTCTTCTTTTCTGTGCCTTTCCTAATGATGCCCAACATTCTGTTCACTTTTTTGACTGCCGCTGCACATTGAGGGGATGTTTTCAGAGAGCTATCCACAATGACTCAAAGATCTCTTTTTTGAGTGGTAACAGCTAACTTAGACCCCATCATTTTATATGTTGGGATTACATTTTCTAATGTGCATTGCTTTGCATTTATCAACATTGAATTTCATCTGCCATGTTGTTGCCCAATCACCCAGTTTTGTGAGATGCCTTTGTAACGCTTGTAACTCTTTGGAATTAACCATCTTGAGTAGTTTTGTATCATCTGCAAATTTTGCCACCTCACTGTTTACCCCTTTTTCCGGATCATTTATTAACATGTTGAATAGGACTGGTCCCAGTACAGACCCCTGGGGGACACCACTATTTACCTCTCTCCATTCTGGAAACTGACCATGTATTCCTACCCTTTGTTTTCTATCTTTTAACCAGTTACCAATCCATGAGAGGACCTTCCCTCTTATTCCATGACAGTTTACATTGCTTAAGAGCCTGCATTGCAACCTTCTCAGTTTCTTTTCCAAAGGGAACAAACATCACATTCCATAGATATATTGTAGGTGTGATCAAAATCTTTCATTATTTAAACCTCCTGTTTTCCTGTCCTTTGTAGTACTTGTGGTGTCACTCTAGCAGAAACCAGAAAATGTGGAGCTCAGATTTCTCAGGACCTTGGAAGAAATTTTGCTGAAGATGTAGTGCTTAATAACAATTGTACATAGCCAAATACTTTTCCCCCTCTTGGTGAAGCTGCTTTCTTTGAAATCCGTGGCAAAATTCCATTTCATTGAACTCAATGGCAAACGTCATTTATTAAATACAATACAGTATAATTTAATTCCATGGACGGAGTATGTATGTTCCATCTATCAACACATGCTGACAAATTACGGGACTTCCTGAAGCTGTGGGATACAGGGTACATGATGCCTGTAGAAAGAGTGAGAGAGTGTTTGAGTTAGTGGGTGACAGTGACTCAGTTGCTCTTTGGGGACTTCAGTGGGGCTCATTGTGGGGGGGACCAAAAGTGGAATTAGCCATTTGCAGTATCAGACCCATACACCTTAGCAAAGCCATTCATTTTACTTTAAATCATTCTTGGTGTACAGTAAGGAACAGTTTAATCTTAAACCTCTGTTCACGGTTTTCCCCCATGTAGCCATTTTAATTATACCAGAAGCTCCCATGATCTGTTAATGAGGCACCTGAAGATTTTACAGGGATCTTATTTCACTGGGAATCTCTTTAGAAGTTACCTTAGTCCACCAAATCCATTATTTTATCCTATGTTCCTATGATTATTTTTGGTAGGAGATGATGGGTCCTCAACTTTCATTAAAACGAATTGCCTTTTTCATATTCTGCAAGAATGATTTTATCTCTTTATGCCTGAACTGGTGGTTTGTTTGTTTTTAACACAAGGCCAAATATTCAAAAGTACTCCGAATTTGTTGTGGAGCTGGATTTTTCGAAAGAGCTTAGCTTTTATTTAGGCACTTAAAGCAGTCAGATTTTCAAAAGTTCCCAACACCCAGCAGTTCCTGTTTAGTACAATAACAGCTGTTGGATGCTGAGCGCCTTTGAAAATCTGCTCCTATGGTCTTGGGGGAGAGGGTTGAGATTGTTCTTCTTTACAACCATCTGAACAAGCGAAATACTGAATATTCACAACCGCTATTTGTACTTATAAAAATACAGGCAATCTTGCATTATGTGACAACTTCATTTCCCTTTTTGAATATGGTATGTAATACTTATATAGTATCATGCAGATCCATAGTCATATGATGCATGCACATGCAAATACTAATATATGCATACACCTATATATCTATAAAACTGCATTTACTGGAAATGGGCCTCAATGGGGAGGGGCAAGTAAGTCATGAACTATCTTGATAAGGTCTCTGAGCATTTCAGTCTTTCACCTTCTGCTGTTAACTTTGAGAGTAACGTTGTTGGCATTGTTAAAAAAATTTTTTTTGAAACCATTTGCTTTTTGGGTATTAACCATCACAGCAGAAACATTTATAATCTTATGAAAATGGATAAACTTCCCACAATGCTTGATTATTGTTAATTGACAAATTTTCAATTTTGATCTTTCGGAATCTTCACCTTTTCCCTAACTGAGTCAGCCTACCACTTGAACTGTGTGGATTGTAATCCACTGGCTAACCACGTAGTAAGTTTAGGTTCGTCATCATAAACCAACACAAGATTCCCTTTCGTCCATTAAATCTGCATGGAGATGCGTTTTTTTCCTCCACATAGTGGGATAGAGGAATGAATGAACACAGTGATCAGACTGTCCAGTTTTGGGCACTTAACAGAATAGATGGCTGCCTCTATATTTCTAATCCCATCAGTTTAGCTGAAGAAAGGGGTAGGGAGGGGGTGCGAACTGATAGGAGAAACTTGGAAAAGGAAAAAGAAACCCATCCTTTTAACTTTCATGCAGATCTAGTCTGTGTTTTAGGGGAAATAGGTAGAATGAGGCCTCTTGGTATAATCTTTTAGATGACTTTGTAATCTTGAAGGAAAGCTTCAGGTTTCAAGCTCCTTTTTCAGTTTGGTTACTCACTATTAAAGATATGAATTTTTTCCAATATGTTTAAATAATTTCCTTTTTAAGCATGTTGAACAGAAACATAAATATTCCTTATATTAAGGGTTATGTGAAATGTAGTTTTTAAAGGTTCTTTGCATGTATAATTTCCCTGACAAATACATGATTCCTTTTCACTCAGTACCAAGGTTTGCTGGTCTTGGGACCACTAGACTTGTGAATCCTGTGTGTGCATGTGTTTAGAGGTGTATATATTTCTTTTCCAGCTAATACCTCAAACTTGTGATAGTTTAATATTGTGCCACTGTAAGTTTGCACAGAGCAGAGCTTCCATTAGGAATTAAAATTATCCATCCAATTTTGAGAGTTCTGGTGTCACTGATCTTTAAATGCTTTTTTTCCCTGCCACCTCCACCCCCTCAGTATGTGGGTAAGAATTCCCATTACAGCAGGGGTGGGCAAACTTTTTGGCCCAAGGACCACATCTGGGTATGGAAATTGTATGGCAGACCATGAATGCTCATGAAATTGGGGGTGGAGTGCAGGAGGGGGTGAGGGCTCCGGCTGGGGATGCAGGCCAGAAATGAGGAGTTCAGGGTGTGGGATTGGGCTCCGGGCTGGGGTAGGGCGTTGGAGTGTAGGGGTGTGTGTGTGAGGGCTCCGGCTGGGAGTGCAGGCTCTGGGGTGAGGCTAGGGATGAGGGGTTGGGGGTGCAGGAGGGTGCTCCAGGCTGGGGTTCAGAGGGCGGGAGGGGGATCAGGGCTGGGGCAGGGGTACAGGTGCTGAGTGGTACTTACCTCAAGCAGCTACCAAAAGCAGTGGCATGTCCCCGCTCCAGCTCCTATTCGGAAGCGCTGCCAGGTGGTTCTGCATGCTGCCCTTTCCACAGGCACCACCCCAGCAGCTCCCATTGGCTGTGGTTCTTGGCCAATGGGAGCTGCGGGGGCAGTATGTGGAGCCTCTTGGTTGCCCCTACACGGTAGGAGCCAGAGCGGGGACATGCCACTGCTTCTGGGAGGTGCGCGGAGCGAGACAAGCCCCAGACTCCGCTCCCTGGCGGGAGCGCGAGGGCCAGATTAAAACGTCTGGAGGTCCGGCTGCGGCCCCTGGGCTGTATTTTGTCCACCCTGCATTACAGGGTCCATTTTTAGAAAATTATACCCTTTTGCTCTGCTCAGCAATCTGAAATCTGACAAGGTAAAAAGCATTTCTCAATGTGAATAAACTGAAATGTGGTTGGAAATGGATTACATTTGAAATAACATTTCTGAACTTGCTGCTGGTATTGGCTGTTTTCCTCAGTTGTGACTGATATTTTACAAGTGTATGTTGGAGAATATAAAGTCCCTCACCTGCTTTAAAAATCTGAAGGAATTCTAAATGCTTGTTCTTCAGACTTTTAAAAAAACAGTGCGGGAGAGGTTATACAGTCTTTGCAAGTCATGTTCAAGACACCTAATAAATTTAATGGAAGGCTTGCAAAAGAAATCCAGTGAAATGAAGGTAGTATCTTAACAAAGAAGATCTTATTTTATTTTGTCTAATTCGAAAGCATTTTCAAGATTTAAAGGTTAAGTTTTAAAAAAAGACTTGTCTGATTTATAATATCTAATGTAATATTAGACATATCAAAATAAAATTTATTTTCAGTGTGAAAATGTGCAAAAATCTTACTTTTTTTTACATGTTAAAGAAAACCCCAGGTTGACTAGTCATTCTAGTTCTGTTTTAAATTCAGTGGCTTGCATTTAAAAGGAACAGCTATTTCATTGTATGCTCAGCTCATGTAGATACTGAGAACTAAGACTAGGAACATACTTTATCTTATAAAATCAGTTATTCCTTTTTAAGGCAAAGTGTTCTAGCTACTAAAATGTTGTCTAATCTTAAATTATTCTTAAATATTTTGAAAATACTGCTGAATTGTTTTATAAATTGACTTTTCGACACAGCCATTAATTACCAAAAGAAAGACTGCCTTCTTGCAGTAAACTATTTTTCATTTCCGCTGGGAAAAACTACTACTAATCATAAACAATATTCTGGCGCAACAAACTCCCTTTAACAAATGATTTAGAAGGTGAAAGTAGCAATATCGTACAGTCTATTAGTGTGTGGTTATTTTAAATGTAGTTGAGACATTGGGTGACAGTGATACATACAAACATTAAGAGCTCTGGACTTTGGCAGACCTGAAACAGGTTCTGTGATTTATATCTGCAACCCTAAGCTACTCACTTAAAGTGAAATCCATGCCCCACACTGCAGTCATTGGCAAAACCCCTATTGATTTTAATGGGGCCAAGATTACACCGTTAATCCTGCTCACAATTCTTTGAGTTTATGTATTTGTTGCACATGTATCTGAAATCTTATGTCCATTTTTAATATTAATCTACTATGGTTATATACATATGATGACTTTTTAAGGAACAAAATTCCTCTTCAAATTGAAAAGAAATTGAGTAGCAGAATTACAGGACATACACACACCTCTGGGTGTGAAGGTGGGAATCTGCCTCATCCCTTACAATGTATTAAAGCCAGGTGGAGATCTAATATAATTGTAGGTCTACAGCTTATATAATTAGATGGCACATAAACTGCCTTATATAAAAAATGAGTAAACTGCAGTGTTAAAGGAAATAAGCTAGTCAGAAAAGTGGTGTAAAACTAAAATTCTTCATTTTGGGGGAGATTTTTTCAAAAGATGACTAGACATTTCATTCCTGGGAAGGAGCATATAAACGGCAAAAGTCTAAACTTGTCAAAATTGGCATACTTGAACACACACCCCATTTGGATAATCTGCCTTCTAGAATTAAAAGAAGAAAATTATTTTTAAATCTTGGAGAGAAATTCCTAAAATGATACTAAACGTCAACTCTTGTCCTGTTTAATTATATAAAAACCATCAAGTACAGCATTTAACTTCACTCTAATCACTGTTTTTAAAAATACAGCAATGTGACTTACTAGAACAAATGCTGCTGACCTCCTCTACATATACATAATACATATACATACCTGCAAACACAGCAGGTGAGCCTCTGTCACTAATTTTTACTGAACTATATAATATCTTTAAAAAACTGCAACTTAGTTGCTCAGTTCCACTGCAGGTGGAAACCCCTCCAACAGGAAAAATGGATAAGACATTTGAAAATTGCCCTTTGAATGGCAACTGGCCTGTCACATCCTCCTGTTAGAGAATGTGAACATGATTTGGGATTGCCAGTTATTTTGCTGTTAAAGCACTATTTTTTTCATGTTAGATATAAAATTTAGCATAGGTGACAGATTCGCATATAGTGTAATTCTAGCTGCATTCCAACATAAAAGCTTAAACAATTCATTCTCTTTGTTCTTTATCTCTTTTGTTCCTGAATTGATCGGTATCTCCCCTCAAGCGTCACCCATTTGCTAGGCACCACTAAATATGTGTATTTGGCAGAATGTTCTTCCCTCTTTAGAATTTATTATGAGAAGAGATTGCCAAGATTTATCCCTAGTTAAACTGAATAGTTGTTGATACAAACCCTTCTTAATGGTTAAGACAACTCTTTGCATTATAAGAAAAGGAGGACTTGTGGCACCTTAGAGACGAACAAATTTATTTGAGCATAAGCTTTCGTGAGCTACAGCTCACTTCATCGGATGCATCATCCGATGAAGTGAGCTGTAGCTCACGAAAGCTTATGCTCAAATAAATTTGTTCGTCTCTAAGGTGCCACAAGTCCTCCTTTTCTTTTTGCGAATACAGACTAACACGGCTGCTACTCTGAAACCTTTGCATTATAGTGTGTGAACACATGATTTACATTGATGTAACACCTTTCACCCAGAAGGTCCCAAAGTATTTACAAAATATGTTATACGTTGGGCAAGTGAGATCACTTTGCCAATCTGTAACAAGATAATTCTCACATCAAATTTTGGAACTGTTCAACAGCATACAGCAACAGTATACCATAATTTAGGACATGAAGTGACGATTATGTCACATGAAACCACTAGTGAAATTATAGCTGGGGTGCACATAACATGAATTGGGCCAGGAATTCAGGGTAATGCCCTCAACTCTTAGGAAACATACATGACCTTAAATAAGTAGCAGGACTTCCGTTTTGCATTTCTTGCACAAGCCAGGATCTTCAGCAGCACATTTCCATCTTTCTGGGAAGAGAGTGACCTGCCATGTTACCACACCATTTTATGCAGCATCCTTTTCCTTCGAGGCCATTTGAGCACTGATTCAGCCCAACTATCTAGATTTATGAGAGCTGATCTGCTGCGTAGGATGTGCTTTTTCTTCTTAAGTCATTCTAACATGTATGGTGTAAATATACATAATTTATCCTGTATAACAATTAATTATGCGGAACATCATTTGCATAGATGCACAGGACTGCACCTCTGATTCATCCAGATCTTCAGTGTGCTGAGAGGAGATCCCCTTCCATTTCCACTGGCTGGTGTCTCAACTGTAAACCAGCTACCTAACTCTCAAAAGTCAGAAACCTTGGAAGAGCTGGGCTGCCCTAGCAGGAATGAAGGCAAACCACCTGCAAAGGAGGGGATTATTATATTTTTAAGATGACCTGTCATCACTTTACTCCACAGCTGAAAGGAACTTCAGAGGAAATGCAAATGATCTCTGAACTACCTTAGTCCCTGAAATGTCAAATGCTCTGAGATTCCACCTTGCAAACTACTGCATCTGCTATCATCTGATACATCTTCCTATTATTACACTGTTGTTTGCAGCGGCGTGGTAGCCCTAACGGCCGCAAGATATCAGAGAGACGAGGTGGGTGGAATACGCTGGTCTCTTCCACCAACCGCCGTTGGTGCAATAAAAGGTATTACCTCACCCAGCTTGTCTCCCTATTATTACAAACAGAAGTAACTGCTCAATCAGGCCGGTGTCACTATGAGAAGGGCTGCCCCTAAACTGCATCGTGCATTAGGGTCTTTAATTGTGTGTGTGTGTTTCAGGGCTACTAAGCGTTACAAGGGGTGGTGGGGTGCGCACTGAACCCCCCCCCCCCCCGAACAATGGGGTGAGGGCAGGCGATTCACGGACAGCCCAGGATTCCTGGGCCAGCAGCACCTGCTCACAGAGCCCCCTGAAAATCAGTGCTGGGGCTCGCCGCCCAGCACCCCGCCTCTGTGCCCGCGGGCAGGCGCCTCCGAGAGCACCAGCTCCACAACAGGGCGCGCGGCCCTGGGCGCGACCGCGAGCCCCTCCTCTCCCCGCGGGCTCCCGACGCCCAGCGCCGTCACGTGACCTCACGTTTGCTTTGGGGGCCGAAGGAGGCAGAGACGCCGCCGTGGCTTCGCCCTTCGCTTGTCCCCTCCCGCGTCCACGAGCGCAGCCCTTTCGCGGCGCTCACTGAGCAGGCGCAGACGGGTGGGCATGCTCATGAGCTGGCAGCGAGACAGATCTGACGCTACACCGGAAGTGAGGACGACGCGGCAGCGATCGTTCCTGGGGTGGGGAGTCATGTGATCGAGGGTGAAAGGGGAAGCGGCTGCTGTCAGCTGGGGTGTTTCTGTGAGGAATTCCGGCAGAAGCGGGCGGCCTGTTGGACCCTGGGGTAAGGGAAGGGGGCGGGTGGACTCCCCCCCCCCCCCCCAAGCAGAGGTTGTGTGTTGTGGTAATTGTTATTATAGGGCCTACTATATTAACAACCCCCCACCCCGTGCTGCGGGGAGTGGAGCGGGAGGGGTCCTGCGACCGGCCTCCTCTCCGTCCCCGAACCCTCCGCCCCGGGGGCTGGGGGACTCGGAGCTCCGCAAGCCCCAGCGCCTTGGCAGGGCTGATGGGACCGTTTGGGGGGGTGCTGAGAGCCACAGAACCAGACTGTGACCCCTGGGCATGATGGAAACCGCTACGAGTCAGGGGGGCGGCCGCGCCCCGAGTTCCAGCTCCCACCCGCCTTGGGCCAGGGAGCAGCCGAGCCTGTCCTCGGCCGCCCCGTGCACAGCTGCGGGAGCCCTGTGGCCTGTCAGGTGCCAGGGCACATCCCAAGGACGGGCCGGGGTTCTCGGCTGACCTGCCTTAGGAGCAGGTGCAATCTGCTCCCCTGCCGGCTGGCTTCCCTCCTGGAGTCAGGGAAAGGCGGGATTTGAGCGACACCCTCCACCCCTGCAGCAGCAAGGGAGCCTAGACCAGCCGGGACAGGTGTTTGTCCAACCTGTTCTGAAAACCTGCCCTGGGGGATTCCACAGCCTCCCTTGGAAAGCTGGCCCAGTTCTCAGCTATCCTGATCGCTAGGACGTTTTTCCTAGTATTTCACCTAAATCTCACTTGCTGCAGATTAGGCCCATTACTTCTTATCCTACTCTTAATTAGACACAGAGAACAAGTGATCCCTCACCTTCTAACAGCCTTTTCCATATCCGATGATTGTTAGCTTCCCCCACTCAGTCTCTTCAGACTAAAGATCCCCAGTGTTTTTAACCTTTTCTCATAGATCAGGTTTTTTAACCCTTCTGTCGTTTTTGTTGCTCTTCTTTGGACTCTCTCCATTTTGTTCACATATTTCCTAAAATGTGGTACCCAAAACTGGACCCAGTACTCCAGCGGAGGCCTCACCAGTGCAGAGTAGACTGAGCCAGTTACCACCCCAGTCTTGCGTCTAATGCTGACAGCAGTCTACACTAATTGAAACTGCCTTTGGAAGTTAATCCATGCAGAGGGTGTTTCCAGGGGGAAGGTGACAAAGACACAGATGTCTGACTGCCTTCATGACCAAAGAAACAGGGTACCTAGGCAATTGAAGAGTCAGTGGGCAGGGTTTGCAACACTAACACTCCTGCTGCCTGGACATCCAGAAACAAACACAGATTTCGGATGGCAAGGTAACAAACCACTGGGAGAACTCAATCCAAGGCACAGACAGTGCTTTCAGTTACTTCCTCTGCTCTGCTGGTATTACATCTCTCTTATCTGGATTGAGTTAAAGCTGACTGACTCATGTGGTTCAGTGATTATAGCAGAGGCTTGAAAGAGGTAGCTCTCAGAAAATATCTAGACTAACTGCTGCCTCGTGTTAGCCCATTGAAACATACAAACTTGCTGGCAGAGTGGCTGTCAGGCAGTTTTATTGTGGAGAGTATCCAGGAATAACATGTGTACCTACCTTCACCTTACACTCATTCCTCTCTTTAGCGCCCCATCAGCGAGGCCAGGTCTACACTACAAACTTACATCGGTATAACTACGTTGCTCAAGGGTGTGAAAAATCCACATTCCTGAGCGATACAGTTATACCAACCTAACCCTGGGTGTAGATAGTGCTGTGTCAAGAGCTTCTCCTGCCGACATAGCTGCTACCACTTCTCGCGGAGGTGGATGAGCTACGCGGACAGTAGAAGCACTACACCAGGACAGATCTACACAAGCACTACACCAAGTGTAGATCTGCCCTGAGACTCCCTCTACACAGTTTATGCAGCTTTTGACCCATGTTTCTTCCTGAGATGGGTGGGACAGTTGCAACAGGGCTGCTTGTGGGGGAAGGGCCTCTGGGGAAGGGCTTGTGTGTAGCTTGTGGTAGGTCAGTTTCTTTTAAGAGCAGTTTAATGCCAATAATTCACTCTGTTGGGCAGGGTAGCATGAGCGTTCTCCTCTTCACATTGGCACCAGAAGGAGCTGTGGGATGCTGGAAATTAATAGGGATACTTCTCCCTCCTTAATTTTGCGTGAGAGTAAGCAAAAGAGAGAGAGAGGGAGGTCATAAAAGCTTAGGTGCATGACTAATGTTGACTCTTATTTTTCAGGAACTTTGACAGTACATCTGATTATTTTTTTCCCAAAAGTTTCTAAATATGGCTGACGTAAGTATTTTGAAAAATATTTTCAAACAGAAATGTGTATTTCTTTGTAATTATATGGTTTTGTTTGTTTGTTTTGGGAGGTTTTGTTTCACTATTTGAGAAAGCTACCAAACAGGAAGAAACTATAGGCCCTGTCCCAAAAAGTTTACAGCCCCAATCCTGTAAACTGATCCATATGGACACACCCTTATGAAGCCTCAATCAGTTCGGTGGGACTACTGATGTCAGTAAAGTTATGCACGAGCAAAAGTATTTGCAGGACTAAGGCCTTAGACTATAAATACTTGGAAAGGAGAAGAGGCCTGGCTTGATTGAGAATGACCTGATTATGCAAAAGGAGAGAGAATCTGCTCTTTGTTCAGTAACTTGTGACGTGGTGATATTTGGAAGACACTAAAACAAAGTTCACGTGTGTTTGGGATATGCATTTGTGGCAGCGATTGTGTTAAAATGTTCAAGCGCTATGTATTTAATGTGTTAACGTGAAACATTATATTTAAAACACTTGGGGAGGAAGAGAAATACAACAATATACTTGCTGCCACTTCACTAAATGTATTGGATGCATTTTGGTTCGTTAACAAATACCTGTATGTACATTTTCAGAGCCACTGAAATGAGGGACAGAAGTAAAGGAACAAGTAATACAAGTACTATACATATGCAAATTCTGAAACTCGGACTGTTTTTGTCTACAAGCACTGAAGGGGGGCGGGGAGGGAGTTGGTCAGAGTTATAATTCAAAATACTCCACACAATGCAATTTAAAAGAAGTGTTTTGTGGTAGAATGGAATAGGAATTTTTTAAATGACATGAATGGTTTCTACTGGGATAAAATTGTGAAAGTTTCATACATATTATTATTTTGAAAAATAAAGCCTATTTCATCCTCTTATTTTTCTTTATAGGAGCTGAAAAGATTTCTGTACAAAAAATTACCAAGGTAACATCGCTATCACGCTACAGTGAAGTGTTCACTTTGCACTCTGTGCTGCTTTGCAATTAATGTATGTTAATATTTACCTGGATTTTAGTAGGCTCTACTGAAAGTAATCCAACAGACTGTCCATACTGTCTGAACACTTTTTTAAAAGAATCTATTACGTTTTACACTGTAGGTTCCTATACTCTGAATAATATTTATTTGGCTGCAAAAACCTATCTTTTGGTAACCCAGTTTAATATTAAAGAGACACTTATCTTGAAAATTATTCAACACTATTATTTCTGAATGAGTTAAAAGTCAGTTCAGGTGGAAATAACTTAAACCTTTCCATCTGTCCACCCCAAAAGAAGTACAGTACTCTTCATTTTAAGGGAATAGTGTGTTTCTTTAAAAAAAAAAAAAAAGCTTCTGTTCCTGGAATAATTCTTCTCAAATTCAAACAACACTTTGTACTGGCTTTTTGAGGACTTGGTTCATCTTGGTAACTTACAGTTTCTGGTAACTGCAAGTAGCTAGGCTAGGCCAGTCATTAGCAGCACTAAATAGTCATGCCCTGGGACTGTGTGCAAATACAGTGACACCTGCACTAAGGACTACTTCCAATAGCAGTCCCCTTACTTAAGCTGAAGGACTTCCACGATTTCCAATTCCAGTTCTGTTTCTAGTACAAGTCTATCCTTGGTCCGTTGGATGGTTGCATAACAAAAGCTAGTTTAATGGTGGGCACTCCTTGCACTATCACATCTCTCCTTGCTACTTCTGTTTTCACGTTGGTACGTATTTGCTGAATAAAAATGAATCTCGCTGCCAACATTTAAACATGGTAAAAACAACAGTTTTATTTTTTTTTCTCTAGTGTTGAAGGTCTTCATGCTATTTTAGTGTCAGACAGAGATGGTGTGCCTGTTATCAAAGGTAAATCATAACATCTGATTGTACATCTACTGTATAATAATTTACATCTTTAATTGAAAGACAAAAAGTGGCTTCCTATTGAAGAGAGGGCTCTTCCTCCTGGCTGGCTTTTAGTTTACTGTAAATATTGGAGGTTGATCTAAGCATTAAGTCAGACATGCTCAAATTTGGGACATTTTAACAAGAGAAATTATCTCTTAAAGGGAGCCTCTATCTAGGTACATGCAGTGTGTTTAAAACCATAGTCTGTAGGCACCTTACCATGTCATCAGTGAAAAGAGTTGGAATCATGTAAGGAGTTTATATCTTAAAGCTGCTTTCAGATTGGTAGACAACACCAGGATTGGTTGAACAGAAGTCTTCCCCTAAGACTGATATGACCAAATGCTACCCACGGATAGATGCATCCAACCGCTCTGATATAATTCTGAATTTGTTTGCATTGGGGTTGTGCTATCCTTCCCTTACTTTCCAGTAGTAGTATGAGACATCTAGTGCAACAGGCACAATGGTGTAAGTTAAGAATGTAAAGATTCAGGCATCTGCAGATGGTTTTTATGTCCCATCTCATTTAATGATGCTCAGTAGGAGTGGCATGTATGTGTGAATCTGAAGGCAGATAGATGGCGTAAGCATGATACGGGTGCAATGCAAATGGGTCTGGTGTGCTACTGCAGGTGACGCAATAAAACAAAACAGCATCCGCACAGATCATGGCGCAACAAACAAGCGTGTAGAAAATAAGCCATCCTCAGAACATTAGGAAAGCTGGCTGCTGAAGTGGTGATAAAGATATACAGAGTAAAACATTTACATGCATCTTCCAAAGCACATCAATAGGCATTCATTATTGAGGGAAGGTGGGAAGCAGGGAGGGGCGGTTTGATATGTATGAGATCTGATCTAGTTTACTGTTGCCTCATATGCAGGATGCCTGACCCGTATCATATAGGAATGTGAAATATGTTTTGTTCCAGTTGCCAATGATAATGCTCCAGAGCATGCGCTTAGACCTGGTTTCTTGTCCACCTTTGCACTTGCAACAGACCAGGGCAGCAAACTAGGGCTTTCAAAAAACAAGAGTATCATCTGTTACTACAACACATACCAGGTAAGGGTCTATTGGCCAGAGCTAGTCCTCTGTGACTTTTTTTTTTTAAACTATGCTGGCTTTCCACTGGGGATTGATTATATTTAAATGTGTATTTTATTTTCTAAAATATGTAAGAGCTGGTTATGCCGAATTTTTGCAATATTCATTGAAATTAGCTTTTGTTTTCCAGCATCAATAATGAGTTACTGGTTCAGGGCAGTACTTGAAGCTCACTGTGTTCTCCAGCTGGTGGTGCCTGTTGCAAATCTCTAATATCTACCATTCTAAATTTGTGTTTATTGCTGCTGATCATTTAAAAATATTTCTCTTGAAGAACAAAATGCTCATTTATATACATGTGATCAGTGATACTGCTGAACAAGCTGGGGCTTCTGTCCACTTTAAACTGTGTAACCGTTAAATCCTGCTTCAGTAATAGTGTCTGGGCAAGGACATTTACATAAAAGAATTCACAGTTTATAAACTTGGTGTTGTTTTTCATGTGTCTACTGAAATCCATCACCCTTCAACAGATTCACACTCCTGCTCAGTTCACAGTGGATTGATGAGCAGAATTTACAGAAGGGCGTTCGGCTTTTGTCATTTGTTTGCATTAACTGTTTAGACTTGCTGCATTCAGCTTTGTTTGATGGAAAGTAAATGTAAAAAAGTAGCTGTTTGCCCCTGACCTGACAGCATTGGCCTGACATTCTTCTGACCCTACTACTGTATGTTCAGCATTTCTGAATTCTTCATGAATATCTGGGTAATAATATCTCCTTCCCTCGAATAGTTTTTTTTATCATGTAACAAGAGGAGGAAATAACATACACACTATGCTACAGCTTTTAAAATTGGTTAGATTTCACAATGTGTAACATACCGTACATACCTGTGAGACAGCAATCCCATTTTGTGGCTCTCTCTGCTAGCACCTTTGAACGCTGAATCTTTAAAACCTGTACATAAAACCCAGTCCTTATTCCGATTTCTAATTTAAATTGACGGGACCAGTTGCATGAGTAAGGACTGCAGGATTAGGGAATGAGTATAGCAGATGTCACGCTGTTTTTCTGACAAGCAGTATATTGATTTTTTTTGTTTCTGAGGAACTTTTGTTTTTATGTTTTTAAGGTGGTCCAGTTCAATCGGTTACCTTTGGTAGTAAGTTTCATTGCTAGCAGCAATGCCAACACCGGTACGTTTTCATTATCAGTAATTTCCGAAACTGTTATGACTAGAGTGATATGTTTTCAATAAGACTTAAAATAATTCATTTGAAAAATATGAGTTCCATCAGCTTAGGTCAGTATTCATTACAAAACTGCATATTAGCTTGTCACCAGCATGGAATCTGATAAAAAGGGTGTCATGATTGATTGGAAAAAAGTGAGTCCCAAAGGGGGCTAATATTTGAAACTTTTGAAAGTTGCAGTTTGGCAAAATTTTCAAAAATGCCTATCATCTTTCTTCGAAGCAATTCATTTTCCTGCCTGTTCTAATAATGCATTACCTTAAACAGGATGTGAACCTCACTTATTTGGAAAATGCACTGGTAATGACCCCACAATACAAACAGTTGACAATCTTTCTTCTCCCTTAGTGCCCACAAAAAGCAAACCAAACATGAAAACAAAAACTAACAAAAGCCTCTACGTTATTCCGTCCTCCTCCAGGCTTCAGTGTCTAGTCTTCACTTTTGTCTGTTAGATGCTAAGGTCTGCAGGGAAAGTACTGTCTTGTCTTATGTCTTGAACAGCTTCATACATTAGTGCTTAATATTTTTTGCTAGTGATGATACAGATGACGTAACAAAGATTCTGCAGGCCAGATTTTGCCCTCTGTTGACCTGTGCAACACCTTGTCTCAAAATTATGCCCTTCAGTTATGCAGGACTCTGAGTTTGACCCTCCATTATGTCCTCCTGGCTCTCTGCTTGTTCCAGAGGAAATCCTCTCTTGTGGCGTCACTCTTCTGACTTTCCAGCGTACACCTTCTCCCAATACTCCCTAGAGCCTGCATGGTGTGGAGGCAATGCTGCAGGTGCCAGAGGAGGACTGTGCTTGCATTGGCCCTCTTCCTGTTTTGGGGACTTCCCTGCCCCGTTTTGCTCTTATTTGATTCTTATTTGCTTCGAAGAGGAAGAGACCAGAGGGCACTTAATTACAGTGGCAATTGCTGGTTGCCGCTGTGACTAGCTCTCATATGCTGCTTCCTTGCAGCATGAGACGCTGAAGTGAAATCAGTTTAGTTTTAATAAACACTTTCATTATTATTGACTACTTTGGAGAGAGGCTTAATGGATACTGTGTGTAGTGTAACTATTTTGTATCTCTTCTTTATTGTTACAGGATTGATCGTCAGCTTAGAGAAGGAGCTTGCTCCCTTGTTTGAAGAGTTGAGGCAGGTTGTAGAGGTTTCTTAACCTGATGATGTCATCAAAGTGCGGCATCTCTTCGCTACCCAGTGGGACATAAAGATTCAATAATTCTCAGCCCACAAAATACCAAATGTTTGAGAGGAAATATCACTTCCCCATATTGTACTCAAAGAGATTAAACTTGTGCATAGTGCTCAATCGGAAATGAGATACTAGTGTGTTGTAGACAGACTCTTTCGCCACGTGTCTTGTGTTGTGCAGTGCTGGAGAGACCACCAAATGGCTCCAGTGGAGCCCTTACTAAGGATCAGGTTTAACAGAGTTGACCAGTAGCCGCATACTGCCGGTCCAGATAAGTGACCCACAGCTGCCTTGCTGTACAGGGAATGAAGCATTGAGTAGGGTTTACCTAACTCTGACTAGCCACCACTACATAGTGGGGAAGTAGAATTAATTTTCATTGTCCTGTAATGAATGCTTCATTGCTTGTGCTAGGAAAAAGAGAACATATGCTGGCAGTCCTAGCAGTACAATCAATAACTATCCCATGGTGATTTTTTTGTGATGCGTTGGTAAAGGAATACTACTAATCTGAATGTGAGCTTCCTTGGTACAGGAGAAGGATGCTGCTATTTCTATATAAGTTACAGCTTCAAGCGTTTTCCTTATTACTGGGTACAAGTACCCAATCGGTGTTGCACTTTCTTGTATTTCTTTTGTACAGTGTAGGTGTGATACCCAGGATTGTCTTTTGTTCTGGTATTTGTGGCTATGTTAGTGGTAACACTTGACCTGCTCATTTATGTTTAGGTTTTCCTAAGTAAATGTCTAAATAAAACAGTATTTTTTAAAAATCTTGTAGCCTGATCCATTTTTATAACTGTCCTAAAATATTGCTGGTAAACCTACTTTTCCATGCAGATAATGGTCTCCCTTGTTGCTTTGTAAATGTACAACAACTTGGAGAATTTATGGGCTAAATAATAACCTGTGTAGATCTCATCTGGGTCTCATCATTTTTGAATTTCTACATTTTTATAAAAACACGCATCATTTGCTGTCAACTGTCTACCTCTAGACGTTAGTTTTCTAGAAGTGAAAACACTTGGGGGCCATATAATGCCTTTTTTTAGAGCAAAACTTCAGAGTTTGGTGTGGGATTTCTGATTTAAAATAGCACGGATTTCCCTTGGTAACCGTTACTAAAATTCCACCTCAAGATTGAGGGTGGGCTGTGGGGACACTTTCTGCCTCCAACAACAAATCCCATTTTACCAGTTCAACCTTGGATCCCTCAGGCCGCTGCCTCTTCGGTAACGTGAGAAGGAAAAGATTGGCTTTACAGCATATTTCCAAGGTGAACACATTTGGGTTCTAGTCTATGGGATTGTGAATTCTTCAGTTGAAGAATCTTTACAGAGACTGCCTTGCCAGCTGTCTCTTCCACTTAAATCAAGGGGCTCCAGCATGTGCTGATTGTAACTGCCGAAGTATCCCATGCAAGAGGCAGTTTTTCAGATAATCTAGTCCCAAAACATCTGCATTTTTAATACAATAAGGCAAACACTTCAAATTCCATCTAGAAACTAATCAGCCAATGTAGAGCCCTGATCAACCAGTGTAACAGCCTGTCTGTGTGAAGCTCCATTTGAAAAGCAGCAAGCTGTATTCTAACCTGGCTTCAGTTTGCAATTGTTTGTTTGAGCGAGGTAGTGTGTACTACGTCTTGTTTCCAGTATTCTGTAACCGGCCTGTTCCCATGGGAAGAAGCTCTGATCGTGAGATGATTTGACCTCACATAGGATTTTCCATCCATTAGTAGAGAGGCATGACTATTGTTAGCTTACCAAGAGGGTTGTACCGGATATTTCTATTATATTGCAGTTATCTTATTTCTTTGGGAGGAAAACGGAGATGCAAATCATTACTTTATAAAACTTTGTTGCGTATGAACACCATTCTGCTAACTTCCTTGACTGCAGGCATCACAATCTAAGTTTTAAAAGAGTACCTTTTTAATAGTATGGTGAAACCGTATTTACTCAAGACATCTTAAAATATTTAGTCTATACAAAATTCGTCAAATACTGTGAACATCTAAGTTAAAACAAAATACTATTCCTGTAATTACAACTCTGAATTCTTCCTCTATCATAATGGAGTCTCTTCTTTTTCCAGGCTTAGCTGCCTCTTCTATGTGAAGAGAGGCAGCTATGGAAAATTAAACTGGTTGGTGTGCTTTTTTTAAAAAGTGCCACAGCAGTTTATATGGCAGGAGAACATAACATGGCCTTGTCTAATGTAAAACATTTTTGAGCAGGTACAATTCAAGCTAATTTGATATTTAAAAACAAATTCATGATCCCTTCTTTCTTTGTCCAGAGAGCTGCCAAATGCTTTACAATTGATTTCCAGAATATAACTTGTCTTATCCCCTCGCCCCTGTCCCCTAAAACACACAAACCTAATCAACTAAAATTAATAGCTTCTGCCTGTAAACTCTCAATACTAACCAAGGAAAAGATCATTACAAGCAGATGCGGCTAGCAGAAATGCGTAAAATTTAATGATCATCTTCATGTGGGCAAGTGATGGCCCACCTTGATTTTCATACACATTGTAAGGAGAGTGGTCACTTTGGATAAGCTATTACCAGCAGGAGAGTGAGTTTGTGTGTGTGGCTTTTGGAAAAAAAACCTGGATTTGTGCTGGAAATGGCCCACCTTGATTATCATACACATTGTAAAGAGAGTGGTCACTTTAGATAAGCTATTACCAGCAGGAGAGTGGGGTGGGAGGAGGTATTGTTTCATGGTCTCTGTGTATATAATGTCTTCTGCAGTTTCCACAGTATGCATCCGATGAAGTGAGCTGTAGCTCACGAAAGCTTATGCTCAAATAAATTGGTTCGTCTCTAAGGTGCCACAAGTACTCCTTTTCTTTTTGCAAATACAGACTAACACGGCTGTTACTCTGAAACTAAAAAGCTCTTGGTCCAATGGGGACCAAGGGCTTTGCTGGCTGTACAGCATTCTGTCCTCATTCCCTGGGTGCCTATGGCTACTCCTTCATGGGTGTACTGGGAATGGAGACGCTGGGGTCCAACTGCCCTGTGCCCTTATCACCCCAATGTATAAATAAGGATGCTCTCAATATTGTACATGTCTGTAACATACATTCTATTTAACAGAAAGAGAGAGCACCAATCTACACACTTGCAACTACCACTGCCAAAATGTAGAATCCGACCAGACGCTAATATCTTTAATCAAAGCCAAATATTATTCATCACCCACTTTGACATTGGACTTTAAAAATATTAAGTTTATATTTTCCATGTAATAGGGACTCACATTAATTACAAAAATACACTCTAGTCAGTTTCACAATGAAAAAAATTCACTCTGGAGACATAATTTTCCTCTAGGATTTAAACCCTTAAAACACAATGCAAAACAAATATTTAAGGTTTCCAGAAAAAAAGCTGATTTCAAATGAGTGGGCTAACCCATGCAGAACAGCTGTTGCTAGTAGTTAGTTATGCATTTATTACAGAAGCTCAATGAAGCTAACTGAGAGTGCTTTACTACGATGCCGAACGTTTCAAATACTGAACGCTTTTGTGATGCAAAAGTGAACCGAATAGGAACATGCGAGTGGGTAGGGAACCAGCATTGTTAGGATGCAACAGTTTTCACTGATAACACTTCACATTCTGAAAGTGTCCCTCTAGCGTTAATCTTATATATGCAAGTACATAGATGTACACTGTAGGTAACTCATGTGCTGACACTGCTCTCGTGTGAAGTGACGCTCAATGCTGAAGGCTGACTCTCGCTGACTAAATTATTTAGAGGCATAACTACAGGGGAGAGGTGGCATCACGCTGGTCCTGGTGTTTTCTTATTTGTGACTGAAACAAAAGACAATATTACTTATTCATATATGTGGCGAGTTAAAAAGAAATATCAAAGAAAATAAAAATTGGGCAGAGATAAAATACTAGCTGCTGATTTTTGAGCAAGTTAGATTTATAACATGTTGCCCTGTCTTCTTGACTCCCACCTGATCTCCCAATGTATGCTGTCTGTGTGGGCCTGTATTATCTACAGTCTAGGTAAAAAATTCCCTTGGGGCACGGGCCAGTCTCTTTCTGTCTTCTGTACAAGACTATGAACACAGAAGGCACTCCAGACAACAGTACTGTAGAATATGCACATACAAAATGCTTAACCAGTTTTGTGTGTGCATCTCTTAATGCAATGATTTTAAACTGTAGATCAAGTCTAGTTAGTCGTCCCTGTTGGGGATTTACAGACATGCAGGGGAATGCCAACAAACAAGATCCTGGGAAAAAACCTAACATGCCCTTCCTGTGTGGCAGATGCACTTTTAAAGGGACTATGCTGTATATATGCCTTAATATCTTATTATTAATCATGTTTATTACAGTAGTGCCTAGGGACCAACCAAGAACAGTGAGCCACATTGTACCAGGCACTGCATAAAAAGAATAGTAGACAGGTCCTGCACCAAAGAGTTTACAGTCTAAATAGGCAAGATAGAAAAAGGATAGCAGAGAGATCAATGTGGTGGTGACAAATGTCATGTCATGTACTTACCATTATGGAATGTATACAGGGGTGAAAGTAAAATTGAACTCTTACCAGTACGGGGAGCTGGCTCTGGCCCCCCTGGAAGGGGTGGGGCCTCGGGCGGAAGGGGCGGGGCTGGGGGTCAGCGTCCCCCAGCCAGCCCATCCGCTGAGCCTGGCCCGCGCCACCCGATTTAAAGGGCCCGGGTTAGGGTTAGGGGCAGCTGCTCCTTTTGCTCCCTCCCCTCCCATCGGCGGCCCAGGGGAGGGGGGTGTCAAAAGGGGCAACGACGTTAAAGCGCTGCCCCAGCAGCACTTTAAATAGGGTTCTTTGCCGTGGCCGCGCTTTAAAGTCAGCTGTACGGGCCGGTACTGGCGGACACTTTTTCCCAGTACGCCGTACCGGCTTACTTTTACCCCTAAATGTATACCTCATAAAAAGCAGTCTTATTCACTTTATAGGCCTCGCACAGTCCATATGTACAGATTTCATAATGTGTGATACATGTAGTGGAATAGACTCCACGCATGCAACTCACTGAAGTCAATAGAAGTTGCATGCTAATCTTTGAAGGTTCAGACTGGCTCACTGAAATTTTAACTGAGTGGGAGCAATACTTTCTCAATTTGTTCACAGCATCGCCAACCCTAGCCAGTCAAAAATCATCATGAGTTGGGTCCCTAAAATCATCAATTTAAAAAAATATATAAGAATGTGGGTTCTTTTTATGTTTCCTTCTAATTTTTGGAGCCTTTAGGTTTCATGTTTTCAAGCTTTTCTCTGCTACCATGATGGCTAGAAAGTCACTTTTCCTTCCCATGAAAACAGAATTTCACTTAACAACATGATGCCAGGTGTTTAAGAAAAATACCAAGAATCATGAGATTAATGATAAAACCATGAGAGTTGACAACACTTTGTTGGAGATTACTGTTTAATGTATTTTATATACGCACTCAGAGCCCATTTGACTGGAGCATTTTTACAAATAAAAAAATTGCTAAGTGTACATATGGATGGCGTACACACATTAGGAAGGAGAATACCTCATTGTGCAGAGAATCTCAAACCAACTCCACAATGAGATTTCTGTAGCACTGGAAATAAATCCATAATTTAAGAATTGAAAAAGAAAAATATCTAGGATGACAACTTGTTCAATGGTCATTCAAAATGGAGAAGACTATATAGTTTCAACAAGGGCATGGCAATGTAATCATAGCTGGATTAATGCACTGCTATGGTAAATACATCTATCTGTTAGACATGTAAATACAGGAAAGAGCCAACAAATGCTTGTCTGATCTTTTGGTGTGCTAAATCCTAAGGATTAGCCTTCTGCCCACACTGCCATTTAACACACCATTTCCTTACCAATTTCCATCGCAGTATCTTAATCCACTCATCAGCTTCTATGCCAGTCTTTGCACACAGGTAATATGTCCTTAGCGGGAATACTAAACTGTAAAGAAAACATAATCTAAATCCATTCCAATAATCAGTATTTCCTCCCACAGCGGTGCTTCCTCCCACATTGGCATCGACCAGTTTTTGTTCAGACTTCAGGTGCTGGAGTGATGCTACATTTGTGTGGCTAATGTCTCAGGTCCTACCTACAGTCCGGTTTCAGCTGTTTAGCCAGAACTATTTTTTAATCCAGTTCTTGAGAGTGAGAGTCTTGTTAATACATTGTGCCTGGCCAGTATTGACAAATGAATTGTGTTTTGCAGAATTGTGCTGGGGTTGGCTTTAGTGCACACGCCGCAAAAATAACCAGGGTTAAATTCACTGGTGGTGGTCTCACCTCAGTATGAGTTGCACCTGCCTACCCTGGGGCTGAATTTAGTTTTCTGAGTGGAAGTGGGAATCAATAATGAATGAAACCCCATAGCTCAAGCAAGAGTACTATCTCCAGCATTGACTCTTACAGAGCTATGTGGAACTGATCAAGGGAGCTGGTTGAGATACATGGATACAATAAAGAGTGGGAGAGACTCTATAATGCTCACCCATTATCATCGGGTGTCTGTCAGGAGTGGCTGGCAATAGCAAATCAATGTTTCCTGAGTATATTATGGCTTTCGGAAAAGCTAGGCAAAAGAATCAAGGGTTAATTTGGACTGCAACTTACCAGAAACAGTTTACTCGTTCCTGTGAGTAATCAAATTGCACTGCTGAGCATTCCGTTAAGTCTAGTACCCGAATTGGTTCTGTGGACTTCAAAATAACATATTTTAAAAATGAGAGTGTGTGAAACTGGAAGAAAGACAGTAGCTGACCTCACTCCCAAGGTTTCACTTTCTTTCCATGCACTAATGGTGACAAGGGGCCAGATTCTGCTCTCAATTATGTTGGAGTAGTAAATGCAGAGTAACGCAGTGGAGTCTATCCAAATTTACAGCAATATATCTGAGAGCAGAATTTGGATGAATACAAGGAACAGGAAAATACCTTTAAATTTAGAGTTGGGCTGATGACAGCATGGTACTGCCAGCTGGAAGAGAATAGGTTTGGGGCACACTTACAAGGATATAGCTGACTAATGACTCTGCCACCAAAATAGCAAGGCTTTTCATATAGCTTCCCACTAAAGTGGGACTTCTGGTGAAGAGGGTATGCTGGTGGCTATATATCCCATGATGGCAGGAAAAGGGTTATCCACGCTGTTACATCTGGGGCAAAGTAATGTAAAACAGAGCAACAGAGAGTAAATGCTTGGAAAGCAGGAATACCAAAAGGGGAGAAAAGGCATCGTGTAACTCAGAATAATGGGGTGAAACTGAGGAAAGGAAAATAAACCCTGAATATCAGGGAAAATATCCCATTAATAATTCAGTGAGGTTGTGGAACAGCATCCTCAAGTGAAAGTGTTCAGTGATAACTCGGTGATTAAGGGCTTGTAAAAGATCTGCTTTATTCTGTGTCTGGTTCCAACTGGCTGTACATAAGAACAAGAACTTCACAGCCTGCTGCCCAGGCTCTCTCTCAGAAACTCAGCCCTTGAAGGTACAGTCCCCAATACCACTTCTGCCCTTTAAACAAGATTAAACAAAGCAATTTAGAATATACTGTAAAGAATAGCTTTGTATTGGGTTATGGCCAAGACATTAAACATCTACTAGGCTATAATATTATAATTATTCTCTAAAGTCAATGACAAAACTACTATTGTCTTCACCGGGAGCAAGATCAACCTGTCATCACCTGGCATGTGATGGCTAAAAACATGCATGAGTTCCACAAGTGGAACCATGGCATCTGTGAAAAACGTGAGGTCACGGGAGCATGGCACTGCAGGGATTTAAATACTGGAATTGATGTCGATTGTATTCAGCCTGAGAAATGCTAGGGCACCTACAACTCCCACTGAATTCCAAAGGATTTGAATGCTCTCAGGATCAGGCCCTATTTGAGATCTGATCATTTTAAACCATGTCAAATTACAATTTGCTACTCACCGTCTGGTCTTTGAAATATTTAAGTTCATTCCTATGCAGTGTAAACCACCTCATTTTCCAATTCTGAGAAATCAAGAAAGAAAGCAAATGGTTTGAGAATTTTAAAACAAAGCAAAAAAAATACAGCAGTCAAAATCAAGCAACCTTTTTCTTGAAACCATTTTGTTTCTTAAAGATGAGAGGCTCTATGTTTAATCAGAAGAACACTTTCCTTTAACAGGAATTGTCCTTTACTAAACTAGACTGGCATCCAAAAAGGTAATATAGATATTATATAAAATAAAATGGGAATTAGATGCATTAAAATGAAGACCTTGACCATGAAAGGCCTAAGATTGGTGATAATATTAATCACTACCATACACTTTCTGCCTACGGATCACAAAGTTCTTTACAAAGAAGAATAAGTTTTATCACCATTTTACAGATGGGAAAATTGAGGTTCAGAGAGGTTAGATGACTTGCCCATGACTGCTGGCCTGAAAAGGCACAGTATCTGCCTCTCAGATCAAAGTTCCTAGGAAAGCCCAGACCTTGAGACTTCGTCACAGATTGCCTGGTACTGATAGACGTTAGGGTCCAGATTGGTATATTATATTAAGGGATCTGCTATTGTGAGGTTCTCTGAACAGCCTCAATGATGGAAGCTGAGGGTGCTCAGCACCTTACATGAGTAGGACTGAAGTCATGAGATATAGAGGATCAGACTGATAGAGAGCTTTTAAACAATCAATGAAACAAATGTGTCTATATTACAGCATTACGTCAAACCAATTAAATGGACCTTTGAGCAACTGACTGACAGAAAAAGATCAAAGACATAAGAATGGCCATACTGGGTCAGACCAATGGTCCGTCTAGCTCAGTATCCTGTCTCTGACAGTGGCCTGTGCCAGATGCTTCAATAGGAGTGATCAGAACAGGGCAATTTATCAAGTGATCCATTCCTCATCATCCAACCCATGCTTCTAGCAGTCAGAGGCTTAGGGACACCCAGAGGAAGGGGTTGCATCCCTGACCATCTTGGCTAGGGACCTATCCTCCATGAACTTTTCTAATTCTTTTTTGAACACAGTTATACTTTTGGCCTTCACAACATCCCCTGGCGATGAGTTCCACAGGTTGATAGTGCATTGTGTGAAGAAGTACTTCCTTAGGTTTGTTTTAAACCATGGCCTATTGATTTCATTGTGTGACTCCTGGTTTGTGTGTTATGTAAAGGGGTAGATAACACATCCTTATTAATTGTCTCCACACTATTCCTGATTTTACTGACCAGTATCACATCCCCCCTCAGTCGTCTCTTTTCCAAACTGAACAGTCCCAGTCTTTTTAATCTCTCCTCAGATGGAAATTGTTCCATACACCTAATCATTTTTGTTGCCCTTCACTGTACTTTTTCCAGTTCTAACATATCTTTTTTGAGCGGATATGTCCAGAACCTTTTTGAGCGGATATGTCCAGAAGTGCAGTGTTCAAGGTCTGGGCTTATCATGGCTTTATATAGTAGCATTATGATATGTTCGATCTTTTTATCTATTTCTTTCCTAATAGTTCCGAACATTCTATTAGCTTTTTTGACTGCCACTGTACATTGAGCAGATGTTTTCAGAGAGCTATCCACAATGAAGCCAGCATCTCTTTCTTGAATGGTAACAGCTAATTGAGACCCCATCATTTTATATGTACGGTAGGGATTATGTTTTCCAATGTGCATTACTTTCAGCTTATCAACATTGCATTTCATCTGCCATTTTCTTACCCACTCATCTAGTTTTGTGAGATCCCTTTGTAACTCTTCAGAGTCTGCTTAACTATCCTGAGTAATTTTGTATCATCTGCAAAGTTTCCCACCTCACTATTTACCCTCTTTTTCCAGACCATTTATGAATATGTAGAACAGCACTAGTCCCAATACAGATCCTTGGTGGACCCTGCTGTTTACCTCTTTCCATTGTTAAAACTGACCTTTTATTCCTAGCCTTCTTTTAACCAGTTACTGAGCCATGAGAGGACCTTCCCTCTTATCCCATGACTATTTAGTTTGTTTAAGAGCCTTTGGTGAGGGACCTTGTCAAAGTTTTTCTGAAAGTCCAAGTACACTATATCCACTGGATCACCCTTGTCCACATGTTTGTTGACCCCCCTCAAAGAAATCTAATAGATTGGTGAGGCATGATTTCCCTTTACAAAAACCATGTTGACTCTTCCCCAACATATCACTTTCATCTATGCGTCTGCTAATCACTATCGTTTCAACCAATTTGCCTGGTATTTTTCAGGTTTACTGGCCTGTAACTGCCAAGATGACTTCTGGAGCCTTTTAAAGAAATTGTTGTCACATTAGTTATCCGCCAATCATCAGCTACAGAGGCTGAATTAAGCAATAGGGTACATACCACAGTTAGTAGTTCTGCAATTTCATATCTGAGTCCCTTCAGAACTCTTGGGTGAGTATCATCTGGTCCAGGAGACTTATTACTGTTTAATTTACCAATCTGTTCGAAAACCTCCTCTATTTACATTTCTATATGGGTGAGTTCCTCAGATTTGTCTTCTAAAAAGAATGGCTCAGGTGTAGATATCTCCCACACATCCTCTTCAGTGAAGACCAATGCAAAGAATTCATTTAGCTTCTCCGCAACGGCCTTGTCTTTTTTGCGTGTTCCTTTAGCACCTCAATTGCCCAGTGGCCCCACCAATTGTTTGCCAGGCATCCTGCTCCTGATGTACTTAAAACAAAATTTGCTGTTAATTTTTGTGTCATTTGCTAGCTCTTCATATTCTTTTTTGATCTGCCTAATTATACTTTTACACTTCACTTTCCAGAGTTCGTTTCTATTTTTCTCGGTAATGATTTATTTCTCATTTCACTATATATAGGATATTAAACCACAAAGATGCTAAGTTAAACCTGGGATTTTCTCTTCCTCCTCAATTTTCATTTCTTTCTATGGGCATGGGATGGAAGAGAGGAGTATGAAAGCTCTGAAGTTTTTCTTACCTTTACTATTTTGCCTTGTTTTATCAAGTATCCTTCTTTTGTACCAAGCTGCAAAGAAAGAAGGAAAGACTCAGCTGTGTTTATATTTTGTTCCTTTTTATTATGAGCAAAACAAAATCAAACTATTGCTCATTCTTCTCCAGATACCTCCCACAACCACTCATCTTATCCTTATGCTCGTGCAGCTTCTGTACTGTCCCCACAGTGTGGGCCAAATTCCCCCAAACGTCATTCCATTGACTTCAAAGGAGTGGTACCCTCTTACACCAGGGGGTAATTGTGAATATGAGTAGGCCAGAATCTATTCACAGAGTTCTCCAAGTATATAATGACCCATATTCAGTAAAATATACTCAGCAATTAAGTCATTTTACTTCATTTACCTAGATGCCACATGTCATAATACTTAAGTACTGTATTAGATCTTACCAGCCAATGGGATTATCCATGTAAACTGTTCTGGAAACATTAAAAAAACCCAAAGAACTGGGACAGATTTTAATTTGCTTTGGTTAAGTATTCTCTATATGTGACAAAAGCCCTTCCAACTAAAGATGAGCAGAGTACGAACAGAACATAGCATAACACAAAGCATGCGCTAGGGAATTTTTGATCCAGTTAGGCAAAAACACGCATTTGACAACAGTCGGAATGTTGGTTGCACAATTTTGGCCTTGATTTTCAAAAATGATTAATGATGTGGGTGCTTAAACTTCTTGGATGCGCCCCTTGAAACTTCAAGAAAGGCCTGACTTTTCATCATCTTCATCAGAGATATCTGGAAATCACTGAATCATAGAAGTGCAGGACTGGAAGGGACCTCAATAGATCATCTAATCTAGTCCCCTGCACTCAAGACAGGACTAAGTAATAACTAGACCATTCCTAAAAAGAAAAGGGGTACTTGTGGCACCTTAGAGACTCACAAATTTATTTGAGCGTAAGCTTTCGTGAGCTACAGCTCACTTCATCGGATGCACGAAGTACTCCTTTTCTTTTTGCGAATACAGACTAACATGGCTGCTACTCTGAGACCTGTCATCTAGACCATTCCTGACAGGTATTTGTCTAACCTGTTCTTAAAAATTTCCAATGACAGAGATTCCACAACCCCCCTTCCCCCCAGGCAATTTGTTCCAGTGCTTAACCATCCTGACAATTAGAAAGTTTTTCCTAATGTCCAACCTAAACCTCCCCTGCCACAATTTAAGACCATTGTTTCTTGTCCTATCTTCAGAGGTTAATGAGAACAATTTTTCAGCCTTCTCTTTGTAACAACCTTTTATGTAGTGAAAACTGTTATCATGTCCCCCTTCAGTCTTCTCTTCTCCAGACTAAACAAACCCAATGTTTTCAATCTTTCATCATAGACCACATTTTCTAGACCTTTAATCATTTTTGTTGCTCTCCTCTAGACTTTTTCCAATTTGTCCACATCTTTCCTGAAAATATGGTGCCCAGAACCGGACACAGTACTCCAGTTGAGGCCATATCAGTGTGGAGTAGAGTGGTAGAATGACTTCCCGTGTCTTGCTTACAATACTTCTGCTGATACATCCCAGAATGATATTTGCTTTTTTTTTTTTTTTGCAAGTGTTACGCTGTTCACTCATATTTACCTTGTGGTCCACTGTGACCCCCAGGTCCCTTTCCTCAGTACTCCTTCCTAGGCAGTCATTTCTCATTTTGTATGTGTGCAACTGATTGTTCCTTCCTAAGTGGAGAACTTTGCATTTGTCCTTATTGAATTTCATGTTATTTACTTCAGACCATTTCTCCAGTTTGTCCAGATCATTTTGAATTGGAATCCTATCCTCCAAAGCCCTTGTAACCTCTCCCAGCTTGGTATTGTCCTCAGACTTTTTAAGTGTACTCTCTCTGCCATTCTCTAAATCATTGATGAAGATACTGACCAGAACTGGACCTAGCGCCCATCCCTGCAGTACTCCTCCCAAGATGCCTTTCCCGCTTGACTGTGAACCATCGGTAACTACTCTGGCCATGTCTCTACGTACAGCACTGTAGCGGCACAGCTATACTGATACCATTGCACCGCTGCACCATGTCTGGTGAAGACGCTCCATGCCGACGGGAGAGCTCTCTCCCGTCGGTATAATAAAACACCTCCGCAAGCAGCAGAAGCTGTGTCACCGGGAGAAGCTCTCCCACTGACGTAGCTCTGTGCTCATGAGCGCTTATGTCGGTGTAATTTATGTCACTCAGGGGGTGGTTTTTTCACACCACACTGACGTAAGTTATGCCAACATAGCTTGTAGTGTAGACATAGCCTCCCTGGGAATGGTTTTCCAACCAGTAATGCACCGACCCTCCAGTAGCTCCATCTAGGCTATATTTCCCAAGTTTGTTTATGAGAGGGTCATGTGAGACAATGTCAAAAGCCTTACTGAAGTCAAGATATACCTCATCTACCACACAGATATACCTCCTATCCACAAGGCTTGTTACTCTGTCAAAGAAAGCTGTTAGGTTGGTTTGACAGGATTTATTATTGATAAACCCATGCTCACTGTTACTTATCACCTTATTATCTTCCAGGTGTTTGCAAATTGATTGCCAGATTATTTGCTCCTTTGTCTTTCTGGATACTGAAGTTAAGCTGTCTGGTCTATAATTCCCCGGGTTGTCCTTATTCCCCTTTTTATAAATGGGCACTATATTTGCCCTCTTCCAGTTCTCTGGAATCTCACCCATTTTCCATGAGTTTTCAGAGGTAATCGCTAATGGTTCAGATATCTCCTCAGTCAGCTCCTTGAGTATTCTAGGATGTATTTCATCATTAAATCATTCTGGCTATGATTTTTTTGTAAAAACTGACTAGTTTCAAAACTTTTTAAAGTTAATATTCTAAAGGGATGGGGTGGAGCTCTTTGGTTCTTCAAGAGTCAAAAATAATTTTAGTTCAGATGGAAAGATTTGCATATGACAGCTCGCTTATTAACATTTTCTAGTGCTCAGCATTGCTGATCTCCTGAGGAGAATGGTGGAAAAGTTCTTATTCATCACAAGACTATGTACCAGCAGGATTATTTTCTTGGCTATAACCATTTTTAAAAGGGTAGATACTCTAGGGCTCACTTGTCTGGCTGCATTACATTCAGAATCTTAATAACAGAAAAGTAACCTACCGAAGGTGCATTCAGGACAAGATCATTTTCAGTTTTTCCTGTTTGCATCGCAGTGTGAACCCGGACAGACTCATAAATAGAAGGTTCTTCCACTTTCCGGGGATACGGATGTTTCAGTACAATTAGGGTGCCTGAATAAAAGATAGCACTAGTGAGTGACGTGACAAAGTGGATAATACAAAATGATTGTCCCAGGTGTGTGTGTGTGTTTGGAGTTCTGGAGCACTCCTGTGTTGTCAGGTTCCTAAGACAAGAGTGGGATTTTGGCCACACACAGGTCAGAGGACAATCATGTCATAAATGACACTTAAATTATTGACTAAATTAGGCAAATCATTTTCAAAGTGCACAGCCTAAGTAACTGGACTGTACATAAGGTTTTCCACAGGGAACAAGAATCCTTCCCCACAAACTGCAGAGCGGCTATGGGCAGTGACTAATGGATCTGTGTAGCAGCGGTTCCACCTGACTTGAGTGGATCCTTCACCCTTGACTCTACCCTGCCCTGCTCCCAAAAAGTCCTGGATCTCTGCTCCACTGTGCATGTGGACTCAGGATCTCCTGTGTGGGTTACCCAAATCCTGCCCCTCTGCTGTGTCTGAAAACCTCTGCTTTCCTATACATGCCAACTGCACCTCTTCTCTTCTATTCCTTCAAGTAAGTGCCATGGTTGTGTCTACGCTATAGAGCTGATGCCGGCATAGCTATGTTGACACACCCATACCAACATAGGCCCCTCAAGTAGCTGCAGCACCAACAGAAGGAGGAGTTCTGCTCGTTTAAAAACAACCCCTCCCCAAATGACATCAGCAAAGAAGCCCTTTTCTCTTGGCATAGCTGAGTCTACGCTGGGGTTTTGTCAGCACAGCTATTACAGTAGGTAGTTGTTTTTTTCACACCCCTGACTGACATAGCTATAAGTTTTAAGTGCAGACCAGGCCTGACTTTTTGAATCTGCCTTCAAGCAGATATTCATGTAAACCTCTTCCTAATTTGATACGAGTAGAAAAGCCAAGAAGGCAGCACCACAGAACTTTCACACCTGCATGAGGCAAGAGAAATATGTTTTCTTTGTTCCCCTTAGAGCTGTAGTTTGAATCTGCTTTTGTTCATGGAATCATCATTATTAGGATAATTGGAGTAGACACACAACATGTGGCTTTCTTGATTATCAAGCACCTAATCTGTGTTTCACAATTGGAAGCCATTTCTTACCTCACATAAATCTCTGACATGGATAAACATCCTTCTCATTAGAAGAGATGGAATTATGTATCTATGCCCAGTATCCTCGATTTTTTCATAGTTGTATATAAATACATTGTGCCTTTTTTAAGCACCCAAACTCAGAGTTGTGGATATAAGGACCCAAAGTTTTTAAGTCTAGTGCAAAGATGGAGAGATGTTCACTTCAGTCTTTTATGCACAATAAAGAGAATGGTCCAGTAGATGGGACCTGCGATCAGGTACCAGGAGACTGTTGTTATCTGCCTGGATGGCCACTGACCTACTGTGTGGCATTGGTCAAATCACTTCATCTCCCTGGGCTTTCATTTTCCCATCTGCAATAATAACGCTGGGAATAATAAAGCTGACCCACCTTTGATAATTACTCTATGGACGAAAAGTGTTTTTCTTCTGGGTGACCAGATAGAAAGTGTGAAAAATCGGGACAGGAGATGGGGGGTAATAGGCACCTATATAAGAAAAAGCCCCAAATATCGGGACTGTCCCTATAAAATTGAGATATCTGGTCACCCTAAGTGCTTTCTACTGTAAATGCTTCATGTTTCCTATTAGAGAAGATTTACAACTTCTATTTTTATAGAACTTCCTCAGTAAATACAATCTTGGCTATAGAATGTATGAGGTAGTACCTAAAAGGCAGGGTGGTTGTTGGTTTATTTGTTTTTTGAAACACTCATTTTCTATTTGTGAAAGAGAAACAAATTACATGAAAATGACGTTTTTCAGGCCTTCCCTCCATTTAGCATATGTTAAAATATCTGTTATTTAATTTCCATGGTTGAAACTTGACTAGTCATGTCCTCTTGAGCTTGTGATCATCAGTTCTCACAAGCTAAGCAATGTTAAGACTAATGAGGACTTGGATTGGAGATCCACAAGGAAAACCCAAAGTGCTATAGGAAGAGGTACTGCTGTCCACTGAACCAGTGACCTGGATAGGGTACTAAGGGACACTGCTGCTACCTGGGGCCCCAATCCTGCAGACACTTATGCACATGCTTCCGGTCTTGGGGAACAGGGGTCGCTCTGCTTCAGATGCTTGCAAGCAATCTCTTTATTCTGTGTCCAGTTCCAGCTGGCTGGGCATAACAACAAGAGCTTCACAGCGTCCAGACTATCTAGGAAGCTCAGCCCTTAAAGACACAATCCCCGATACCACCAGATCCCATCTATACTAGAAAAGGTTTAGCGGTATACATATATAGGCAATCCTCCTAACATAGCAGTATCTTATTCTGGCAACAGAGTACTTTACAATAGGTTGTACCAGTTCCCAAGCAAAACAAGCTGTACCAGCAAAAGCCCTTTTTTTGCTAGTATAACTGTGTCTATTTTGGTGGCACAAATATTGTGTACAAAAATTAAACCCTTGCCTAACAATACTAAACTGGCAATGTTTATAAAAATAGACCTGGCCTAAATTTATGCACTACAGTTAGTCCCATTTAAATCAATAGGTTTACTTAGTATATAAAGTTAAGCATATAATTAAATCTTCAGAGTATCAAGGCTTAAGAGAGCCATCCTAAGAGAGATACAAAGGCAGCCCTGAGCAGTTGTGATCAGCTGATGGGTTTTGTGTTTGTGGGTGTGGTGTTAGAGAAGAGGGGTGTTACGGCTGTTGTTTTGGCAATATTCTGACTCAGCTACAGTCTGTCCACTTGCAAAGTGATAAAGTAAAACTTAAAAACAGGAAACCAGTGATGAAACAAAAATAAATCCACATTTTTATTATTCAAACCTAACAGAATAGAGGGACATGAATATCTACAACGTGTAAACAACCTGACTTCATTGGTATCTCACACTAAAATCCCTAATCTTCTGGAAGTTAATAACCTAACTTGTCTTCTTTATTTAAACTGCACTATCTTCTTTCAGTATATCTAGTTATACGTGTCCTTCTCCACACTTGGTTCATTCATTTTATAAGGTCCATTCCCAGAATGCTCTCCTCTAATAGCCAACCCTTTAAAACCAGGGGAAAGAACCAGCTGCACCCCTCAGGGGCTCATGGTGGCCATTAGTGCATTGCAGCTGACTGTATCTTTCTTCCTTCTAGCTGGTAAGTATTTGGCTCATGTTTAGTTTTTCTTGTTTTTTTCCTTTCCTTTGCAGGCAGAGAAGTTCCTTTGAGGGTGGTTTTTAAGCCACACTCCAAGCTTCTCACACAGACTCAGCTAACATAATTAATTAAACCCCTTCACCAAGTAGCTGATCTGATAGTTAATAAGGCTACAGGTATCCCAGATAGAACCTGCCACCTTCCCTCAGAGTAATGAAAAAACTAAGATATAGCAGGGTCCACTATTGATGAATGAAACATGCCTCTATTCGTATGAGCTTACTCCAGCAGGCTATAGGAACCTCTGTATCTAAAGAATTTACTGAGCTCAGCTAAAGAGACCAGTAACCTTTGGTAATCAGAAAAGGAGCTTCCGTTCTCTTCTCTTACTCCTGAGTAGGTGGCACAACCTCACGCTGCTATATAAATATCAGGCAATAATAATACATTTGGAATTTTTACCTATATATATCTCAAAGCACTTCATAAAGGTGAGTAAGCATTCTTATCCCCATTGTAGAGATAGGGAAATGAAGCACCATCACACACTGAATCAATAGTAAAGTCAGGAAGAGAAACCAGGGTCCTTGACTCCTGGTTTGATAATCTCGCCAGTGGGTCACACTACCTTAATAAAACAAGAACACATTAGTCTGTTGTTGGTCAGTTTGTTCCAGTTAGCACTATAACTTGGTTACAATGTCACAACATTTAACTTTGTTTTTAGGGTAGAAATATCACCTTTTCTGAAACAAGCTATTAATATTCTTGCTCGCTATATCACTGCTTGGTAAGACGAAGTCTTATACAAGTGTCAAGTATGTGATCCGCATGTCCTTCAGACGAACCTTCATGGAACTCTGATTAAACAGCGGAGAGTTTATGTTTGCAGCAAAACACTAGCAAAGGAGATCTCTAAAATTAGACTGGTGCTTCAGATCCAACCTTCTTCACTACCCATATGCATTTTCTAATACTACAAAGCTCACAAGCCTAGCTGAAAAAGGAGATCAAAGAGACAATACAAAATAAACTTTCCAAATGATTGTTAATAATGTATTAAATTCTGCTGATGAGTTATATTTTGCAAGAGGGGATGGGGAAAAAATAACATTTGAAGTAAATAGCTGACATCCGATCATAGAAACAGGGAAGCATGCAAATGTGATATGCTTAACTTGAGCTATGTGGTGTAGGTCAAGGGTCATAGTCAGTTTAATTCTCCCTAGCTCTACGGAAAATTTCTTTTACATTTAATAAGGATGGAACCAAGAGGCCTCTATTAGCAATTACTCGAAATGAAGAGAGAGCGATATCCTATGTATTAAGTTCCGTAGACAATTATATACTTGCGGCAGAATTGCATACCCAAGTTTAAACATTCTATAAAAATGATACTATTTTCTATTAAGTTCTGTAGGATTTTTCCATAAGGAATATTTTAGGTAGCATCATTCAGTAAATATATAAGAAATAGAAATGTCCAGTTCAATCCGTAGCAAGACATTTTTGTGGTGTGTGTGTGGTTTTAGGGTTGGGGTTTTGGGGGGGGGGGGGTTGGGGAGGATTGGTATATATTTCTGCTTTCCAACAAATAGGGATCTTCTGAAAACTAACAGAACAGGAAAATATGTGACTATATTCTTGGAAATTTGAGCCGATTAAAGCCACAGTTTGGTTTTTCTGTCTGGTTAATGACTCAAAGCTTACACATGGTTTTTAAAAACCATTAGCTGAGAACTGGTAAAGAAAGCAAACAAATAGAAAAAAAATAATCTTTTGACTATGTTTGTTTGGCAAGAAGACGGAAATGTGACCGTGTATTGCTTCTACCCTTGTTACTGAAGTGAGCTTTTATACCAGTCAATTGTCTATTCAAGAAACTGTCTCACAGCAAATACTAGCCTGAGTCACATTTTTGTTCGTTTGAATTTTTGCATTATCGGAAGTAAGGGAAGAAGTGTGCACATTGGAACACTGAAGTAAAACCAGCATTAATGTGTATAGCTATTTGCAATGACTAATAAAGCTATAGACAGAAATAAGGCTAGTTAGAATTCTAACGCTTAGGCCCCAATCCAGAACGAAAGTACCTCTGTACCCACATGCATCACTTCGCAGGATCTCAGGGTAGGGTTGCCAGGTGTCCGTTTTTAGACCCTGGTGGCTCCGGTCAGCACTGCCAACCAGGCCGTTAAAAGTCCGGTCGGCAGCGCAGCGGGGGCTTGGGCTAAGACAGGTTCTCTACCTGCCCTGGCTCTGCGTGGCTCCCAGAAGCGGCCACCAGGCACATGGGTAGCCAGGGAGGCGCCGTGCACTGTTGCAGCTCCTAGTGCTGACCAATGGGAGCTGCAGGGGCACTGCCTGCAGGTGCAAGGGCAGCGCGCGGAGCCTCTCTGGCCACCCATGCACCTAGGGGCTGCTAGGACCTGTCGACCACTTCCTAGGAGCCATGGTAAGCGCCACCGGGACCCTGTACCCCAAACCCCCTCCTGCTCCCCAACCCTCTGCCCCATCTTGGAGTCCCCTCCCAAACCCAAACTCCCTTGCAAACCCTGCACCCCACACACCCCCAATACCCTGCCCCTGCCCTGAGCTCCCAAACTCCTCAGCCCCAGCTCAGAGCCCCCTCATTCACCCCAAACCTCTCAACCTCGGCCCCACCCCAGTGCCCACACTCCCAGCCAGAGCCTTCACCCCCTCCCACACTCCGAACCCCTTGGCCCCAGCACAGAGCCCCCTCCTGCACCCCAAACCTCTCATCCCCACAGGGCCGACTCCAGGCACCAGCTTTCCAAGCAGGTGCTTGGGAGGCATTCAGAATGGGGCGGCAGTCTGTGTCCCACGGCGGCAATTCGGCGGCACCTCCGCCGCTCTTCCAGGTGCGGCAGGGAGGCAATTTGGTGCCGACTGCTTGGGGCGGCAAAATTGGTAGAGCCGCCCCCGCAACCCCGGCCCCATCCCAGAGCCCACACTCCTAGCTGGAGCCCTCACCCCCTCCCACACTCCAAATCCCTCAGCCCCAGCCCAGAGCCCCTCCTGCACTCCAAACCTCTCATCCCTGGCCCCATCCCAGAGCCTGCACCGCGAGCTGGAGTCATCACCTTCCTCTGTACCCTAACCCCCTGCCCTAGCCCGGAAATCCTCTTCTGCACCCTGAACCCCACACTTCTGGCCCCACCTGGAGCCTGCACCCCCAACCCGATCTCAGGGCCTTATACAACTTTTCATCCATAGATCTCCAAGTGCTTTACAAAGCTTGGGTTCGTAATCTCCTCACCTGACAGATAGGTAACCCAGAACATCTAAATGACTTGGCTAAGGTTTCACAGTGAGACGGTGATAGAGTGGGAGGAGAAATAAACTCTCCTGACTCAGTGTGATGCCCTAGTCACTGGAACTACATTAAAAAACACACAGCGTTGAAAAGTGAGCGCAAAGAAATCATTAGTGTCATAGACAAGTCACTAGAGCTGGTCAAAAAATGAGTACAATAAAATATTTCATGTTTCCATTCTAAACGGGTTGAAATTAACCCATTTTTCATTAAAAAATATATTTTTCACAACTTTTTGCAAAATATTTGTCTAAAACATCAAGCGATTTTCATTTAGTGATTTTTATTTTTTTAATAAATGAAAACATTTTCATTTACTGAAAACCTGAGTTTTGGTAAATGGAAATTTTTGAATTAGACTTCTTTTGTGAAAATTTCTGATAATGACAATTGATCACAAAAGTTTATATTTTCAAAAGTCGTCTATTTTTAAATAAATGAACTTTTTGTTGAAAAAATGTTGACAAGCTCCACTAAGTTACACCCTCCTTTCCCAGTAACATGGAACTTAGGCTTGAGAACCAGGCTTGAGAACCATGAGTTTGTTTGAATTTTTTTCCTGCACCTCTAAAATCTTTCAGAGCCTACACTAACTGTACTTTTTAATGTAGCAAAATGAAAATTGGATGGGGAGCCTTTGGAGATGATTTCTATTTCTCTGTTGGTGATAGTATGTGCTTGTGAAGTCCTTTGTTTATAAACCAGCCAGAGAATATAATAATTCAGGTTCCTTGTTTATTCCGTCATATTGCTGAGCTGCCAATTTTACCATATAACATTCCATGCCAGTATTTAAAAAAAAACAAAAAAAAAAACCATTGATTATACAATTACTGACCGCTAGCGCCTGAGCCAAAGTTCTCACGTTATCTATCACTGAGTGAGAGCATGGACTGAGAGCCAGAACCAGATTCTGTTCCCAGCTCTGCCACTGATATGTTTTCTGACCTTGGGCCAGATACTTCACCTATTTTGGCCTAATGACATTTACCTTCTTATGGATAACAGCTAAGTATTATAATTCTTTTAAAAGGTTGTGCTTGAACAGACAACTTACTGCTCCTGTCCCATTAAATTAGCCATTACCCCACAGGCAGCTATTATTATTAATCATGTTTATTATGGCAGTGCTCAACGGGCTGGATATCAGGATGTGAAATCAGCATTGGTGCTCTGTCTTCCTGTATATTGCGGCATATAGGCAAGGAAAGTGGAAAGGGAACAAGCTTGTTGGCGAGATACTTTAATACCCATTTCCAGCCTCTAGCTCTGTCTGATTTAGACAGATGAGACGGGTTTCACAGAGCTAGCAGAATCTGATTAGGGGGCTTTAAGCCAACTGCCAAGCACATCATTCAGCACTAAGGATCCAGCTTGCAGAGATCATATAGCACCAAATCCTTATTTACTAATGGATGTAACACATGGAGTGAAGGAAGGAAAAATCATAATTTTCTACATGTCATCTGAAATATTTGAAAGGTTAAACTTGCTGATATATTTCTGACTTCAGATAAGAATCTTCTCATAGCCCAAAATGGATATTTAGATTGAAACATTTTCATCTTAAACTTTAAACCAAAACAGTTCCTGCGAACTAGTACTTTGAAGCATGGTTCATAGTTTAGTTGCATTTTAAACATAAACCTTTTTAACCCTGTGATTGGATTAATACTTAGATCCCAAATATACAGAAGTGCTTGAGTGCGTACTTATTGATGTATATGCCATTACAGTAATTGCACCTGGAGGTAATCATTTAGGCATCTATCTGATCATTTACATGTACAAATACCACTACTGCACATACAAATTATTTGCATATTTTTGCACACACAAATTATTAACAGTTTTCTGCCTTACAAATGTTCATTAATCCTAGCAATTTCCACTGTGGAGGTAGGTAAGCCTTAATCTTTTTTAGAGATAAGAAAACCACAACAAGAAAGACTGGCCCAAGGCCACAGAAGCGACAGTGCCAAATCTAGGATTAGAGCTCAGGAGTCCCTGGCACCTAGACCTAACCTATACTTTTAGCACCCCTCTTTCTCTCAGAATTAGTACTAGAAATTTGAACTCAGCGTTTTAAATTTCATTCCTACAAGTGAGTTGGTTTATGATCTGCTGGTAGGAAGAGTCTTTCTCCTTCTCCTTGACCCCATTCAAGCAGCAGCTGTCTGTTGAAATGGTCTGTGCTCCTCTTGTGTTAAATAACACACTGATTAAGCTAATATTTTTTTTTTTAAAATTCCTGTTTCAGGGCAGAGCAAGTCAACAAGCAGGCTGCTCTGCCTCAGCGGAGGAAATCACTTGTTAATGGTGAAGTATAGGGCATGTAAACTGCAGGTGAGGTGAGGAAACCAGTGTGGATTTCTGGCCTGGGAAGTAGTGGAAATAAACTCTTTCATAGCTCTCTCCTTCCTCTACTCTCAGCCCCCTCCCTCCATGCCTCCTCTTCTGAGAAGATGTTTAAATGTTATTTTGGGACAGTCATCAAATTGTAGTTTTTAACCCTGTATTTCTTAATCTAGTAAAATAAAAAGCCAGCGGGAGAGGAGATTAAGGGTCCTATGCCCCTCAGCATATGCACATTCTGAAATGCTTCTTCTGAGCTAAGATTGTGTTAGCAGCAAAAACAAGGCAACAACAGAAGCTTCTTAGGTTAAAACAATCACACACTACATCACCTTGTTAGACAAGTGCATAATAAGCACAGGTATTTCACTGGTAATCATCATCATGTGACCATCTTCTGTTCTCAGCAATCAGTTCTTTTCTCAGTAACACTGGAATAAATCAAAACTAACTCTATTGACTTCACTGCTGAGAGCAATTTCTATAGTTCTGTGTCACATCAAGCTGTTCTAACCTGTTTCTGGCACCAGCTGATTCTAATAGATACAAAGTTCTACCACGTGGCTCCCTAAAATCGCTACGGTTCCCTCCTTTCTCCAGGATGGATCCAAGCAAAGGCCTCTGCCTCAGGGATTGGAGACAAGATCCTGTTACTGGCTCTACCCTGACACCAAAACAGGCTTGTGTCCCAGGCTGGTAAAATCACAAGCTACTGACTTTGGTTTGTGTTTAGATTAAGCAGAAGGCATCTCTAAACCTAAACCTCTGATATGTTTAACATTGGCACACACAAAATAATATTTGAAGAGGTACATCTGGGCAGGTTTTGAGTAAAAATGACTATCTGGTGTAAATATGAAGTGGGTTCCCTAAAGCCATCTCCACACTCACACATATGACACACATTGTTTACCTGTCTCGCTTCCAATTAGGGGCTGGTTTGCAAAATGCATGACTAACTCCTTCAAGCTGGGAAATTCATTAAAGCCAAACTTGAATGAAGACCCCATGTGCTCCACATGGAAATGTTTCACAGAATCTCTTGCTCTAAAAGGAAAAAGAGAATTGTCCAAATACATAAAGTTTGCAAATTACAAAATGTCTCTGGAGGAAAATGTAAACACTTATTGCTTTGTGCTTACACAGCACCAACCATGTTTAGATCTTGGAGCTTTATGAACGTTGGGACTGATTTTTCAAAGATACCGCATTTTCAGAGCTCCCATTCACTCCAGTTCGAATTGTAGGTGCTTGACACCTCTGCAAGCCAGGCCTATTAATTAAGAGTTGCAACACCACTATGAGGTAGGGTAAGTATTATCACTGTTTTACAGATGGGGTAATGAAAACACAGAAAGCTTAAGTGACTTGTCCAAGGTCACATTGGGAGTCAATAACAGAGTGTACCCAAGAGTCCTTTCTCCTAGCCTCCTGCTCTACCCACCAGGATACCTGTCCAGTTAGTAGCAATACTGCCCTTTGTACACACCGCCCGACCCTACTACCATTTGGATGGTTTAGTGAGGTCCTCAGATCAGCCCTGCCAGGGTCGGTCACGGCCCTGGTGGAGCGCCGAGAAGACAGTCGAACTGCATACTGCTAATTCTTAAGATATAATCTCTCTGTTCAGTGTACACATTTTATTTATTGGATAACAATTTCAAAATTAAGCACTTTTAAAAGTGGCCTGATTTTTTTTTTTCCAGAAGTCTCCCTAATCTAACAGTGAAGTCACTTTGTGTTACAGGCACTCAGTACCTTTTCAAAATCAGGCCTCCTTTATGTAAGTGTCTAAATCTATATTTAGAGCTTAATTTTAGGCATCCAGGTTTGAGAATTTTTGGCCTACTATTTACTTTCACCACCAAAGGCTCCAATCAGGATAGGGGGTCTGTTGTGCTAGGCACTAAACAAATGCACACAGGAAGAGAGTCTTATCTTTATCAGTACAGTGCCATTCAGGAGAACTTGTTGATGTACAAAGAGCTATACAAGTCCTGACTTCCTCACTGGATGTTATTCATACATAAGGCAGCGAAGCAATTCATATCAGAGGCATTGGAGCAGGCATTTCTCTTCTGTTAACGTGGATCTTGTTAACAATAGCACCAGAGAATCTTTAAAAGAAAAGGTTACGAGAAAAACAAGAAACAAATATATTCAAAATAGTGGAGAAAGGGGAGAGTTATGAACTCCTATTATTTTCTCATCATTTAGTAGGAACTACTTTTCATAGTGGATGCTTACAATCCCTGATATATTTTAATGTGTCTTATTAATTATATTTAATTATGTTAAAGAGCCATGTTCTGAGCACAGCTGGCCACTCTAGAGTGTGCATTCATAGGCCTTAGAGCACCGCTCTTGTGGCTGAAAAGACCTTCTGCCTTCAGCCTCCCATCACACAATGCAGGCAAGACATGTGCAAATAGCATACTAGCATGTATGCTGTCGTGGCTTCTTGCTACAGTGCGGTCATGTTTTCATCTAATTTCACAGGAAATAAAGTGTGGCAATGAGAGTAGGCTCTATTCATTGCTTAGTTTCTCTTCAAAGTTAGTGAATTTAACCACTCACTAGCTTCACACTGCTAATGTCAATCAAAATATCAAGGGATATCTGAGCATAGTTTCATACTGAAGCAAGCCATTAATGATGACTGATAAAGTCTGGGCATGTGTGTACGTGTGAAAGGACAGATAGAAGATATTCAGGAGAGTAGATCAGCTATACACTAAGATATAGAGCTGGCTGGAAAATGTTATGCATGTTCCATGAAAAATATCTTAACAAAATTTAAACTTTTCATTTTGTAATGAACATTTTTTTTTATTAGCTTCATCAAAACATCCAGGACATAATTTAGAATTAAACAAGCATTTTTCATTTTGTTTGAAAATATCTTTCAATTAACCAAATTTTTGTTTCAAATGAAAAATTGTCACTTTTCCTCCCTTTTCCCTCCCCCTCCCTTTATTTCTGTGGGGAAAAGAAAAAGGGGACAGTATAATGGAATAAAATGAAAATTTTTATTTGAATCAAACTTTTTCAATTCATTTGGCTGAAAAATAAAAAAATAGTCAAGGGAAATACATTACTGCTAAAAATTTTCATTTCCTTTGACAAGGCATTTTTTGTATTAAAAAAGTTATGATTAAAAAATTTTGACCAGTTCTACTGAGGTATCTTCTGATCTACATCATCCAAAAATGGAAGCAAACATTTATACCAAACTGTAAAGCACTCTGAGGACTAAATTTAATTATGCTCATTGATCCTGAGTTTTGGATACTAATTTTTCACATGAAACCTATTTTCATACATCTGAAGTGTCATCTTTGGATGCCTTATATAAGAATTAAAAAAATAGAATCTATCATTCAAAGACTTACTCTGATTTCATCTTCTAAATAACAGGACATACATTCCCACAGAGGAAATTTGCTAGATGTTTGTTTTGTGCATTTCTTCCTCTCTTTCACAATGCAATCAGCTACCCCACAACAGTTGGGTAACTAGGAAAGCGTGTACTCTAGCTGATATGCAGCATGTCCCTGCATAATAAGTTGTTATTACATGCATCTCTGAAGGAACTATCACTGGGCATCTAAAAGATCTGGGCAGTCTGAGCTGTCAGTGAAACTTAATATTCTCTACTCCACTCACCGCTTTTGTGCTGGAGTGACTCCACTGACTTCAATAGAGATAAACCAGCATAAAAGTGACGTAACGGAGTAAAGAATCAGGGCCAAGGATCCTGACCTGTGATTTTTATTTCAACTAACAAAGTAACAAACCAATGACACTGTATCAATATTCACTTCACAATTTTCAAGGATGAATAAACCCTTCCAGCATGAACCTCAGTCTTGTAGATATAAAATGAGACTTAAGGAGCAATTTTCTTTTTATCAGTTGTTTACAAATATTTAATTTATTCTTAAGTTATTGCAAGTAGTAACTCTTTTAAATACATTTTCTGGTTTACTATATATAACTTTCAGATTGTCATGCAAAACTGGCCTGGATTTTGTTAGAGAAATTGCCAGTGGCAGAGGCTTAGTTCAAATAGTGCTTAATTCTTTCTGCTAATGTAAAAATAGGCCACTGAGAAATTATATTCTTTAAAAATTAAGAAATAACTGTTTGTTTCTGAGAGTTTTCCTTTTCATGATTTTTACACTAGGCACATGTTATGGATATTTATTGTTTGTGTTGTAGTAGTCCCTAGAGGCCCCATTGTGCTAGGCACTGTATAGATGAAGGTTTGTGGGTTTGTTTTTAAGGCTTCCCCTGCCCCACAAAGCTCACAGTCTGGGAACATGTCTGTACTGAAGATATTTGTGCTGGTGTGTATACACTGATGAAAACCACTGGTGTTGATGCTCTGCACCACTGTGAAACTGGGCTTCACAAGTGCAACTGACCTTGGTTTCAAAGTGCAATATATTACAATGACTCCAGACCAGGGGTCAGCAACTTTTCACCATGGAGTCTTTCTGCTCACTTCAGTCTGCCTCTCTTTATTATTATGGCTGCTAATCTAATTGATTTTACCATTATAGAGGGTTTTGAGTGATTGTACAATGTTTAATTTTAAAGCAGTTCATGGAATGAAGTATCTCTCAGCAAGATGAACTCTTATGGACCTCTGAAGTTGGGCACAAATATTAGGTGATGGGATGTTTCAAACCTTTTTTTGATTACCAGATCACAGAAACTATTAATGTGATTATTACCAGTTAATAAAGTGCATTACTATTGCAAATAAACATGGTGGTAAGTGAAGGATGCTTAAAATTAGTAGTAATGTGAAGTCATGTAAGTTAATTCAGCATATTGTACCTTACTGAGAGAGAATACAAGTCATTCCTTTCATTACTCTTCCTTAAGAGATAGCTTCCATCACATCCATTGGAAAGAAGAAGAGCCTCTGCTGCATGGCGGGTGAGATTATCGTGGTACCACCTAGCAAGACATAAAGGTTAAAGCTTCACTCAATTCTGGCTGACATGTAGTGAGTTGTGAAGCAGTAATAACTCCATAGTTGGGGCTGCAACCAGCTCTCTATTATAAACCTCAATATTCACACATACATGCTCTCTCTCTCTCACACACACACACACACGCACACATTTTGCAGGATAACTCCTTTTGGCCTGGAAATTTTCAAGAGGAGACTCCCTTTGGGAAGTCTGAAAGAAACTGGCTCAGTAAAAAATTAACACAATTCTGACTTTGGGGGGTTGGGAGGGGGAGTCTAGCTATTTTGTTCAGTTATATCTCAAAAGGGGGATGGTTTTAAATATCCAACTTCTCCTTCAGTTACTTCTTCCAAGGAACTGGTTCAGACTTTGTTTGAAACCCTCAAATGTTCTGACTATAAAGCCACTTGTTTCCTTCCATTGAATGGTGCAGGGGGTAGCAAATTGTGGCATATTATGGGGAAAAAAATCCGAGTTCTCTCAACTTAGTCTCCTGATAGTACTTCAAACTGGACCTCCAGACACCATAGTAAACAGGAGCATTGTGGGGGACCGACCCAAATCAGGGCAGGGTAGGAGCTCGTGAGCGCTCTGGTTTCTGCAGCACGCTTCCTTCAAGTCTAGGTCAATTTCTGATTGGAAATCCACCCACAAGTTACTGCTGTTTTCACCAATAGTTACAGTCTCTCCAGGACTGTGAACGTCCACCTTCAGAAAGGGGGATTGTCGTGATGTGTCGCTTTAAGCCACTGTACCATAACTGAACCATTCCAGTGCTTCTTGTGCCAACATTGTCCTTTAGCTTAAATAGCTCTTCACCTCTCTGATATGTACCCCTTGATCCATCTCCTCTCAGCCTGCTTTTTGCTAGGCTCAACAAGCCAAGTCTCCTCTCATAAAAGCAATGGTTGTACTCCAAAGGCATCAGTAAGCATTCAGCATTGGACAGTGAAAACACAGGTGGTGAGATGTGCACCCCGATTGGATTTATTTACGTTAATAAGGGGTTAAGGCTGGATACAAATAGCGTATAAAATCACAAGCCAATCTGCCACCTGTGGAGCGCCACTGGTGTTCACAGCGTTGGGAGCCCTGATGTGATGAGCTGCGAGAATTTTAAGCCCGATGTCATACAATTCTGCTCACTTAAAAAGCTCAGCAGCAGCTGCTCTGTGCTGGGGCTCCCAGTCTCACTCAGGTGGGGCTGAGCCAGTGGGAGCTACTATATTTTTCACAACATTTCCCTCCATTGGGCCAGGGCCATGGAGGAATAAAGGACGTGTGGAGCCAGACAACATTTAATGCACTAGATTATGTAAATCACGGGTTTACATGAGATGCATTATGAGAAACAGCCTCTCAGCATGGGTATTAAGGAGGGAAGATCCTCCGATGGAAAAGCTAATAGTATTGTATTGTGTGCCTCTCGCTCTTTTGACTCAGGGAATGCTGAAGATTATTTATGCTGAAAGGGAACCACAAATGACTCTTTATTATATTTTCTCAGTTTGTGCACTTTATGCATTTGACAGCACTCTGTGTATAGAGACTAAGTGAAAAGACCCTTTCAGACATCAATAGGCAAGCAGAAAAACCCATTAAAAAAAAATCCAGGTAGACTGTTTAAAAGGTGCTCTCTCAGAAAATGAACTTTAATTTTTTTTTTTTTAAAATACCTCAGGTTGACAGTGTCCCTCTAAATACTTATTCACAGCTCATTGGTTGTTGTAGTTTCTACAAAAATCTGAGTTTAACTTTCTATAATATTTTTCCTTCCATCCTGCAAGAGACATTGATTTAGGTGGAAGACATTTCTTTACCCTTTTTAAGCTCTGTCTACTATCTTCTAAATCTGTATTTCCTGAAATGTTTTTTCTCTGGTACACTTCTTCTTTTGGGCAAATGTCTCATGCAGCACATACTATTGTAACCAAAAAGACAAGGGTGTTAAGAAAAACCCTGTACATTAACGCATCATCTCAGCAACACCATTCATCCATATCACTAAACCAGTGATTCTCAAACTTTTGTACTGGTGACCCCTTTCACACAGCAAGCCTCTGAGTGCGACCCCCGCCCCCCACATTAAAAACACTTTTTTATATATTTAACATCATTATAAATGCTGGAGGAAAAGCGTGATTTGGAGTGGAGGCTGACAGCTCACGACTCCCTGCACTAAACAAACTGCAGACAAATAGAACTGTCTCAATTAAAATATTCAGTGGAGGAAGTATAACTTTTTGCAGCAGAGGGGAAGAGAGTGAAATCTAAAATTTCATCTAAAAATGTTTAGTCCTTCTATAGCCAGGACTGAATCCTGCAAAGTTCTGAGCACTATTTGTGGGATGTAGGTAACCTGGCTTAAATTTCTGGAGGAAGGTAACATAGAATAGAGTAAATCAGAAAGAAAAGGGGCACCGAATAAATGGGAAGATCTCACAAAAATTGTCCTGGTACAACTTAACGGTAGACCGGATACCAAAAAGGGCACCGACCACGCAGGCCAGACTACCAACCCCTGTTAAAGGCCCTGTCCCTGTATAAAAAGTCTAAAAATGAGTGGGAGAGGAGAGAATACAATATCTGACAGTCACATGGTAGACTGGGCCCCGTAAGAGGGAACTGGTCCAGACCACCTGTGCCTCATTAACAGCTTCACATGGCATTTGATAGAGGGCAGCTGGTCTCTATAAACATAGGGAAACAGAGAGAGGAAGCTGTGACAGGGACTGTAGAAGAGTGGCAGTGAGCAGGAGGCTCCTGCAAAGGACTCTTGACCAGCTAGGGAGGGCTGTGAGCACCAGGCAAGACAGAAGCCTGGGATTTTGGAAGAGCTGCCAACAGCAGATTCCCGGGGAGAAGAAAAGACCCCCCACACACACACACCCCAGCTCGGAAGGTCTGGGAGTGGTCTGCTAAAAGCAGGGAATTGAGTTGAACTTTGCAGACTTTGAGTTTTGTTCTGAACTTTGATGTTAATAAACCCAGGCCCTACGGATGGGTGTTGAAGAGAGAGAAGTCTGTTTGTGGAATTTATTGAGGATCCCTGGTGAGAGGGAATGAAGCAGGGTACTGCAGAGCCACCCTAGCCACAAGGGGGCTCTCAGGAGGTAGCCAGTCCATATACCCTGGCAAGTGAAACTGTACTCCTGCTAATAAATAAATTACTAGTGATACTGTGGGTGTCTTAAGAGACAATTGTGATTTAGAGGACATGCTAGGCATGTATTGAGTTAGCATTTTGTTTTGAAACCTAAGGAAATCTGAGTTTAGCAGGGCTCTTGTTTTTGTTTTTCCTTTCTTTGCTCTGTGTGTATATATAAGAAAAGTTATTGGGACAAATTTATGCTCTCAGCTACACCAACAATGCATTTAGACCAATGTAACTGAAAGCAGAAGTTGGACCACCGGATTTCCTGGCATTCATGATACAGCAGTCCCTAACCTGACACATGGTAACAGTGTGTCCCCTTTTTCTCCTCATTCGTAATTGCAATTCAGTATTTAAATGGACACTTCCTATGAAGTTTTAATGATAATTTAAGATTGCCTCTTGAAGCCTATTGAAGAAGCAAAGGCCAGTTAGTCTGTATGTCTCCTTATTAAAAAAGACTTCACAATTTTAAGCTCTATGGAAGACAAGACCCCAATGAAACCTAATGCAGATAGAAACTTAACACTACCAAGATTGTTTGGGTTTTGGACCTGCTCAGAGAACCACCTACACACTACACAGTATGCAATAAAACATAATGTACATTTAAAGATCAAAGCATCATCCTTTAAAACACCTGTTAGTCAAAACGTGCTTTGTAACCAAGCCCCAGAATAACTAACAGTCAAAGGTCAGATCTGTGTTGTTCCAATACCATGGTGATGAGACCAGTATAAACACGTACCCACTTCTAGAGCTGGAAGAAAGGGCAACATTTTTTGGTGAAATTTCATATAAAATGCTTCCTCACTTCATTCTGTGATCAAGAAACACAGGTTTTCCCCCTAAAATTTCCAGAAAATATTTATTTTCACATTGAAGGCATGTTAAACTTGAAGTTGGTCATGTACACTATTGTTCCTTCAAAAGAAATGAGAAGTTTCAGAAGGCCTTCTTTCTGAGATTTAAAAATAGAAGTATTTTGAATAAAAAGCCATTTTCACTTTCAAACACAGTTTCTTTTCGAGCACAAATATTGAAATAGTTTTGATGAAATGGGACCTTTCTAAAAATATGGAAAATTAAATGGAAAAATTTAACATTCATAAAATGGGGTTTCTAGTTTTTGTTCAAAATGTTCTCACACCTTTGACTGGATGTATTTTGGCTTTTAGGTTGAGGGGTTATTTTGCAAGGTGTTTGTATGCCAAGAAAGCCCCCACACAAACAAAAGTCCCTGAAATCCTGGTCAGCTCATAAAGAAAGTAAAAATGGATGTGGCAATATCAATTAGCTGCTGCTACCAAAGCAACTGTGTCAGACTTAGTAGAATTACTTTCTTTCTTCTTTTTGCTCTCTGACACAATGAAAGGTCTCAGTAATCTGGAAATCTTTATTATTGACTGATCCTTGAAATGGTCACTCAAATCTGTTTTCTTTGACCTACTGCATATATTTAGGGACAACCGTTTTTATTTTATTTTGGTTAAAGCCTGCAGACAAATCAAATATTTTCATCCAACTATCGCCAGGAAAGTCTGTAAAAGGCCATTTATGCATATAAATAGATGGTTTGCTCTCAGTCATCGTAACTGTTTTCCTCAAGTCAGCAGTGTAGATGTTCAAAAGGTCAGAATTCATCTCGGTACAAATCCGCTATGAAATGTACTTGACAAAAAAGTTTTTAATTACACTTGGCATTGCTGCTAGTGCGGGTCACCTGTTTGCAAAGGGAGTTCATGTGTGACACGAGCCATGGGGCTGTCCCCCTGTGAAAGGGTTACAGATCAGTTTCCGAACTGCACTAACCTCAGTTTAACAATCCA